TATTAAATCGATCCACATGGAGAGGCCGGGGCTGAATGTATGCAACCGCTGCTTTACCAAGAAGTTGCACATTTTTTTGGCAATGGGGCCAATTCTGTTGTATCAATCCCTAAACTAAACATAACTAAAAAACTTACTTTACTTTGTGTTTGTTTCAACGCTATTTCAAAGTTGTAAGTAATAATAAAAAAATAAGTTCACACCTGTCTATCATCATATAATAAATTTGCTTCTGTTGGCTATTTTCATAGTTAAAACGGAGTTTGACGGGACTAAACCGATATATAAATTGATACTTAAGCTGAAAAACAATACATTTCCGTGACTGTACCGAGATTCATTTAATATTCAGTTAAGATTGTTAAAATTATAAACTTCTAAAAGGAGGACTGGCGTTCAGTATGACTGCATTAATTAATTAATTAATTTTTTCATTACTTATACTGAGAAAATATGTATAATTATTCCAAGGGAGAGAATTAGCCAAACTTACAATACATTTATCCATAGATTCACTCATAGCTGAACTGTTTTATGTTATGGCATGGAGATTCTACTGTACTGTTTATATATGTTGTGGGCCAATCATTGAATTGGGCCGATCGAGATCTGGCCGGGCATATAACGATATGTCGCTATTTCTTGATTTGGCAGGCAAATCACAATCGGCCCGGTTAAAAGTTTGGCAGATCGACGAGAGCAACGTATTTGTCGATTTGCCCAATTTTTATTCTATAAACTAAATACAAATACTATGAAACCGTTTAAAAGTTGTATCTTTTATTATTTAATAAGTAAATATTACTTAAACATCATTTTATTTACTTAAATACGGGGATGGGTGGTAGGAGAAAATCCGGATTGTTGCCCAACCCTGCTTACATAGTACTTTGGTCACCCTACAAAACTTATTGTCCTGAGTATAGTCGGACATATCATCAAACGGCCTAATTCAACGATTGGCCTACGACATATATAAATACTTCGTGTATAAACTCTTGATTTTTTTTAAATAAGCTACTAGATATGTTTTAATTATGTAAATAATGAAGTAGGATTAAAAGTGCAGTGCATATTTCTATTCTTGAGGTGCTTACTCTTGACAATGATCTTAACTATAATACAGTTGAAGATTCAAATTGAAATAGCATAAAACACGGGATATATAAATCACTAGAATAACCAACGGCTTAGCAGAATACATACTTCAAGTTTCAGCTTTCATTAACTGACTCATACGTTATAGGTCAGGGTTCAATTTAGCCGTTTGAAGTTGGATTTCCGAACATTTAGGAGTATGTGTGTATTGTAAATTTTTAATAAGAATATGTAGAAGTTTTTGAAATCTTATACGATATCAACATGCAAGAGATTATAAGACGATTTAGATGTAGCACTTTATGAAATTTGTAAAACTAATACAATTAATATTGTCAAGGCTCCAATGTACAATTACAATTTTACATAATATACAAGCGTGTAAATATTTTAACTTTTTTCTTGGCCTCTTACAGTGAACTCATTTTCACAATAATTTAATGTGAAGATAAACATCCAAAAATAACATTATTGGTCAACATTTTGATAGCTTTTTGGCAATACATTTTTAAGCATAGATTACAAATACTTTTTTGAGCTGTGACTTATTTTAAAAAGCAATAGGGGTGTAGACAATTTTAATTATATTTTTAATTTATACATGATATATATCAAAAAAAAATTTTTTTAAATAATATCATGCACATAATAAGTTAAATATAAAAATAAACTTACGTCACGGCACTCTAAAACGAATTTCGTTCTATGTAGGCATAAGGTTGAATTCTCCAAGTTCTGATATGAGTAAGATGGGCGTGACGTCACGCGCTGTTTGCGGTCACGTGATAATGAGCATATATTTTTTTCATAATTAGTTTAAGCAATATTATAAATATAATAATCATAAAAGTATGATTACCGGTAATAGTATATTAAACACTAACAGAAAAAAAAATAATATTTATTTTCCTTCACTGTCTACACCCGTATTATTATACTAATTACATCTCTTACACTCAATTTAGATTTGCCTCATCCCAATCCATTTTAAACATGTATGATTGAAATATATAAAAGGAATCATTAAAAATATTTAACAAAGAAATAAAATAACAACAAATTAGCGATCACAAATCTCAAATAAAAATAAAAATCAATGGTAACAATGGCAACAATAATTTTAAACTTAACAAAAAAAAACATACATTTTTGGTTTATGCTCAAGTAAAAGTACACTATTGTATTTATAAATAAAACTGGTAATATTTATGCCATAGTCTTTTTTTATTATTATTGGTGATGCAATTTTTACATATTATTTTAGACCAATAAACTTGATTTACAATATCTTTCTCCAATCATTTTTTTAATAACACATAAGTAAAGATTGGAATAAGCAGAGTTGTTTCGGGTAAATGGCCTTAAACCATATATTGTACCGGCAAAGATTTAAATAAGTTTAAGTATAATGTTTTAGTTTACCGACCTCCGTGGCCCAGTGTCTCGAACGCTGGTTTCAACATATACATATAAGATACTAGCATCAGTTCAGTAGTTTCAGAGCATATTCGTGCAAACAAACAAAATGAATTTCAAATCTGTCCTCTTTATAATGTTAGTATAAATTTAGATGAATAACACAAAAAACTATTTTTTTATATATTGTCTCAGGTCTGGTTGTTATAATGATTTAATGAATACACGTGCTTTAGCTATTAATTGAAATCCGAACAATGCATGCGATGTTGTCTAATATTTATTTATATTTATTTTACGTTAATATGGATATTAATCTGGAATTTAAGGTATTTTTTTAATCTTTATTGCAGTAGCTAAAGCTTAAGTTTAAACCGGTTAGCATGAATAAAGACTTATGAATAAATAGGAAGCAAAAGATTTATGTTTAAACAGTGTCTAAAAGCCATCCATTAATATAGGTACTTACACAACGACCAACAATTGTTTATTATTATAAACATTTTCAGGAATCCAACGTATTATCTTATAAAGTTAGAACAACTCTACCTATTCCGATTAAGATATATAAGTAATACATACTACCTTCATCCGTCAAAATGATATGTGCAATCGACAATGAAAATATGATACTTATGCTTTGTAGGTTTATAAATTAATAACAATGCAATTTTTTTCTCGTCAGTGAAACCATTAAAAAAACTTTTTTTTTATTTAATGTATATGGCTCATGACACGAAGGTGGGGTAATGGTACATGTTATTTATTAGTAGGGATCCTATCCCTTAGGTACGAGAGAATGGATGCAGTGCCCTTGGACAATATGGCGTGTCGAGGCTGACGGAAACAGTTTCCCATTAGCTCCAAACTTCTGGAAATTTTATACGATTTTTGTTAATATTTTTAGAGAATAATAAAGTTTTCCATGATATTGAAAACTCAACTCTGTTGCCAGTGTCATAAAATACAAATTGTTTCAACAATGCCTTTCATGTTCCCAAAAAACAGAAACAACACACTGTATGTATATTATCATTGATTAATTTTGCATTAACATTGTTAAACTAAAAATTTTTTAAGTGAAATATGCTTAAAAAATACTGTATGTATATTTTTGGTCACCCATCCAACGACTGTCCATTGCAAAAGTTGTTCAAAAATCATATCGCATCGACCTCTTCAATCTACCTCAATCTATACATGGAAGATCGCAAAAAAAATTCAAATAACCCTGTATAAAACAAACCTCAAATGCGTGAAGTTACCAAGCTCGGGGGGCACGAAGCTGATACTGTTGTTAGACAGATCGAGTACCGCGAGCCGTCGCAATCGGCCCAACGCCGACTCACACACGTCGATCTCCTCGATCTGATTCTCCGCCGCCAACAGAATCTCCAGGGTTTCCAACTCATACACACACGGCGGGACGTTGGTAAACCTGCGAGTTGAAATGGATTTTCAAATTTAATATCATTCTTTTTTAAACTCATACGATTTGTATACATTGTAATTATATGTAATCGGGTCTTGTTCGTGCATTTTCTTGAAGCTATTAATTTAAAAAAATGCACGAACAAGACCCGATTACATATAATTTCTCCCGCTATAAACCCGCCAGTTCTCCAGTCTCCTCGTGACCACGGCTACTGTAACGTAGCCAAAACGTCGAGGTAAATTTAGTTTAAAAAAAAAATGCACGAACAAGACCCGATTACATATAATTATAATTAATATCATTCATTAAGGCAACGCTGTTACAAACAGTTCAAATCGGTTAGCAAATCTAGACCGGGACACCTTGTACTGAGAAGACTATGAAATCACTTTCAAATATATAGATTAATATGCTGCATCATACAAATAGTGGTGTAGACAACTTTTTTATATATACATGAAAAATATCTAAATTTTCAAAACTTCCCGCTAAATCACCAACTTCTATCATGGCGTCTCTATGACATTACGCCCCTCTAAAACTAAAATCGTTTTATTTATTTAAGAACAACCAACATAATATACACCACAATCGTATGGCAGTAAAGCTTACAACAGTAACTTACAAGTGCCGCTTTAATTACAGGTTGTCACGACACGTACCTATAGCAAGTAAACATAACATTCAGATAATGTTTAGTTAAGCTATTTTATTGCATTGCTTAAATTAATTATGAAAAAACAAATATTTTTACCCGTTGTCACGTGACCGCAAACAGCGCGTGACGTCACGCCCCTATTACACATATCAGAACTTAGAGAATTAAACCTTATGCACCTTATAACTTTATAAGAATTAAACCTTACATATAAGTACATACAAAACAGTCTTTGACATGACGGCTGATTGTGCAAATGATGCTCCGTAATTGTATCTGTTCAGTCTGATATGCCTTTAATTTTATTACTATTTTTATACCTACTAAGTTCTCAATATCCTACAGGTGTAAAATAGCTTTTGAACTAGTTTTTTTTTATTTATTTTTTTTATAGCGTAGTGTTGTTGTGTACTTATTATTACATATTTATATTTCGAAAACCATATTTATCCTTACTTGTTGTTAGAGATAACAAGTTCCCTCAAGTTCTTCATCGTCCCAATTTCTGAGGGCAAGTCTGACAAGCAATTTTTCCCGAGATCAAGATATTGCAAATGAACGCAGCGACATATCTCGGGTGGAATGTTTAAGATGTTGTTTGCAGATAATATCAACTGTGACAGAGTATCCTTCACATGGCATATACTGAAATAAAACATGTTCATTGGAATATTACACATTTTTCCCATTCTTATTAAAACTATAAATGCGAAAATAACTCTGACTGTTTGTCTGTTATGCTCTCCTACTTAAAAACCACTGGACCGATTTTAATGAAATTAATTACAGCGATAGAGTTGACCTTAGGAAAAGGTGAACTTTTATTGCGAAAATAGATTTTGTAAGTTTGTATGGAATTCATCATTGAAAATAACGACCGAAGACTCAGGCAAGCCATTAAAATAAAACTTGTCTTATTATTTCGGTCTAAACTATACATAATATGGACCTAACACATCTTCCCAATAAAAACTCGGAAAAGAGTAAATATCTCAATGGTGTTTACTATTTTCCCAGTTTTTATTGGTTTGGAAGTATGTATGGGGAATTTAAACGTTGCCATGGTAACTATTGTTTACTATTCAATTTGTCATTTTATATATTTGTCATATTATACCCTTGTCATGATTTGAATCGATATCCAATGAACAGTTCCTAGGGACTACGGGGGCGAAGCCGCTGACGAAAAGCTAGTACATAGTATAAAACAAAATCGCTTTCCGTCTGTCTGTCCCTATGTATGCTTAGATATTTAAAACAGTGCAACGGATTTTGATGCGGATTCAAAGGAAGGTTTTTAAGTACATTACAGAACCACGCGGGCGAAGCCGCTGTCGGAAAGCTAGTTGATAAATAAAACCTTAATAATTTTTAAACTGTATCGTCGAACATAGACCGTTGAGCGACCACTAACTTATTTTAATATGGCAATACTGGTTCGAACACAAACAAAAAACAACATGTCACAGTTTTTGTTACATTACATACTGTTAAGTCTACACACCCCATGGGAACAGCGTTTAGTTTATTCTTGGATACATCGACGATATGCACCTCCGCATCGGCGGCCGCCTTAAACACATCATCGGGTACATCGGTCAAATCACGCCCGGGAACCATGAGTGCTTGACTTTTCTTCAATGTGTACCTGATGAAATATAATGAACCAATTGTGCTAAATCAAAAACTTAATGAATACCAAAACATGTAAAAATGACACAAAAATGACTCTTTCAAATATAAATTCTAAAATAGAGTATTATACTTTATATCATGCAGGCGTACACTATCCTATTAATATTATAAATGTGAAAGTTTCTTTGTTTGGATGTTTGTACGTCAATCACGCCGAAACTACTAATTACTACTACTAATTACTCTTTTTTCACACTATACTTATGATAATAATGATAGTAATGCAGTAATTTATGATATATAGCTATTATCATAAGCAAATAAGTACCAAACGAAATGAAAAACCACCTTTTTTTATAAATTTACACTTACCTACTTATAAATCAGATTTCTATTTCTTCTAATAAAAATAGGCAACCCTAAACAGAACTGACAAAATGTTGATGTGACATCAAACTTTGCACATTCAACGGATGTCGCATTTCTGTAACTATATCAATTGAGTTGCTGCACATAAATCTTAACTTTTTGCCGACTGCCACTAAACTTGCTCTAGCACAATCTTTGTTGCTTCCAATTCTTGATTACGCCGATGTCTGTTATCTCGATCTTACGGAAGACCAGCTTAATAAACTTGAGCGGCTCCAAAACTTCTGTATTCGGTTTATATTTGGATTGCGCAAATATGATCATATATCTCAATTTCGTACTCAGCTCAAGTGGCTTCCAATTCGTCTTCGCCGGAATGCTCATATATTATCCCTCCTTTACAATATTTTGTTTAACCCCCTTTATCCGCGCTATTTGAAAGAACGCTTCAATCCGCTATACTGCTGTACTTCATTTTCCTTGAGGTCATCGGAAAACCTGAAACTTGAAACCCCTCTCCATACAACTACTTTTTATGATGGCTCTTTCACTGTCCAAGCTGTGCGTCTTTGGAATGCTCTTCCGACTTCCATAAGACGCGCTCAATCATTAAATATTTTCAAAGAATTGGTAAAAGAACACTATTTATCTGTTTAATATATTTTAACTGCTAATAACCCCTTCTTCAATTCATTAGTATTTATATGTATCATATTTTATATATTTATGTATTATGTTATATGTATTTATGCAAGTATATTATATTTGTCAACTTCTGGTGTCTATTATTGTTATGTTTCAATGATTTATTTGGAATTACCTACTTTAAGTTTACACCCCCGTTTCGTTATAATTAACATTCCTATCCATCCAATGGTTGTCTGGCAGAAATCGCTTTCAGCGATAAGACCGCCATTTGTTACACTTTGATGTATTGTTTAGTTTGTAAAATCTGTGAAGATATCTGTTGTGTTGATAACCTTAAACAAAAACTTACTTATCAGGCCATATAGAATCTTTTTCGCATCTAGTTTCGGTCACAATTTCTTCTGTCATGCGGTCCCTGAGATATTTCATCATACGATTCGTACCCCCCCTAATAACATCCTGCCTGATTGACGACAGTCTATTCCCCTCCATACTTAAACTCTGGAGTTGTGATAGCAAGCCGAGATTTCTTGGTAGCCTATATAAAAAAAATATATTACGATTGAAACATTAAGTCTAATAATTTAAATAATATTCTTTTGTTAATTTAAAAAAAGTAGATATAGATATTGATGAAACATACACTTACTTATTCAAATTATTGTTAGTAAGATCAAGTCTCTTGAGTTTCTGTAATAAAGATACATTTTCTGGCAAGATTTCTATCTTATTATCCCTGATGTTTAAGACATTCAGATGTTGCATTTGATCACAAAATTCTTCAGTTATCTCCTTAAAATAGAAATGACGAGGATTAAAATCTTATTATATATAAGATTTAAAATACTACAACAGTTTGTTTCATTCACAAATAAGTAGCTTTACAATGGGGTATTAAATGATTTTTATCAAATAATAATAGCAATTATATTTAATATTATCAAGCACAGACAAATACTCATTAATGTCTGTGAGAAATCATTTTGTCTACGAATCACTATTGCCAGCTAAAATATTTCAATACCTTAATAAAGTTGTTAGCCAAATATATTTCTTTCAATGCTGTACATCCATAGAAATCAGGAAGCTCCTCAATATCATTATGATTTGCATCAAATATCTCCATTTTTCTAAGTTCACCCATAGGAGGTAGTTTTTTGAGACTGTTATTACTAATATTAAATTTTTTCAAATCTAAAAAATTTTAATATGGCATTTAAAAGTCAATTTATAAAATTGAATTTTAAAATTGAATGGTGTGTAAAGAATAAAAAACGAAGAATAACATTTAATTTCACAATGCTATATTGTGATTTATCTTACAGAAAAATACTTCAATAATCCTATCTGGGATATCTTGGTTACTAAGAAAATTTTAGAGTATATTTCCCTCCTCGAAATAAAGTATAAAATCTTACCTCGAAGATTGACAATATCTGGTGGCAACTCTTGTAGCTGATTATGTGATAAGTTAAGTTCAATTAAACGAACCAAATAACCCATACCAGGCGGTAATTCTACAAGTTTGTTGTGAGATAAATCCTGGAAGTTACTTGTTGGTTTAATATTATTTGTATAAGAGACCAAAGTTAAATTCCTAGACTTATAAATAAATATTAAACAAAGCATAATTATTAAAAAGAGTAACTCATATTTCTGAGATAACCTCAGTGGGCAAAAATTTTCCTATAAGAAAAAATACGATAAGAGAGCCTAAATAAACTGACTTCAATAAATGTAAAATATATGAGACACTTTGTAACAGAAATAAGGGATTTTATTGGTTAACACAATAATTGAACTGGTTTAAAAATATTTTGGTGCTTTATTTTATTTCCTCTTTATCAAAAATTGTCAGGACAAACACCATCTTGTTTTCGTTTAACATTGTATTATAACTTACCAAGAAAGTGAGCATAACTAAATCTCCAAAATCTGGTGCAATATGTTTTAGTTGATTATGTGATAAACTTAGCCATCTCAGCTCTGTTAACTGATAGATTTTTTTTGGCAATTCAGTGAGCTTGTTTCTGTCCAAACTGAGATTTGAAAGTGTTTTCAATTCTCCAATCTCAGGGGGTAAACTTGGTAATGCATTGTCATGGAGCTGTAAATAAAAAATTATTTGAGTATATGAATAATTAGTCTAGATTAGACTTTAATGAATGTTTTTGCAACTGACCGTTAGTGAAATTTACCAACAGTTGATAACAAAAAATGCCTGATATGGTATTAATTCACCATTTACAGAATTTCATTGTTTTTGATATTACCCCAAAGCACTTTAAATACAAGTGGTTTGCTTAGTTAGGACAGATCATCCACAGGTCATAAAATCATGTATTTTTTTTTAATTCAGTTATTAAGAATTCAGGTCTTTTTGTAGTGTTTAAAAGTAAACTATTTATACTTATAAAATATTTCAAACTTACAATGTTCACTTACCTTTAGAGTAACAAGACATTGTAGCATTTTAATTTGTGGTGGTATATTGTTTATTGCATTTGAGCTTAGGTCAAGCATCTTTAAAGGTTCAGAATTCCACCAATTGTGGATATCTGATCTGGAAAGATCAACTTCTTTTGTTTCTTCCAAAACAAGTTCATCGATCTTCCATACATTGTCTGGCACTAAAATATCATATAAATTTCTGATAATCATAATAGTTCCTACTTAAAATGTTTAAATATACAATAACAGTTAAAAATGACATACAGTTGAATTTATAAATTTACATTGTTGTATTGGTAATTTTTCAAACAATGGTATTAAATTTTATATAATTTTATTCTCACAAATTACAAACTGACCAAAGATATTGATTTTCAAGCTTTCAGAAAAATTAATTTGACAAATCAGTTTAGTGATAATATACCTACTATTGTAATCAAAATTTAATATAATTCTAAAACTAGCAATTGATGAGTAATAATTTTGCTTAATTCCATTCAATATACCATTTGTGATATTGCTCTATTGAAAAGTAGAGACTATGCAGATGTAACTTAAGTCATTGGCTATATGGCTTCACCATTTGATTGCAGACTGAGTTACAAGAAACATACAAATGAAAGAAAATTAATTTTATCTTATTATCAGCATCACATAATCCTCTGACATGAAATTATTAAGCAATAAAACATTGAGTTTTAGTGGTCATGAAAGTATATTGACTGTCTGTTTATTAAGTAATAGAAAACAATTACTAACTTACCAGTTCCAAGGCCTCTGTTACATAAACTCAATTGTCCAGTACGCTTAGCTGATTTGATCAAACCCAGAGATAGTTCTTTGTCATCAGCTTTTTTGTCTTGTAGATGAAAAACGGACTTATTAGAGACATTTATTCTGGACTTGATTTTACTTTGAGGTCTTTGCGCCATATCTTTATAGATATTTAGACTAATTGCTCATTAAAATATGGAATAAAGATATAAATCACTTAAAACTCCTTAACAACCTCATGAAATATTCCATTCGTCTTTTGATGCGCAGATTTATTACTACATACTCAAATAAATTTAACCCAATTAAATTTTCTTCTCTAAATAAGTGGATACTAGAAATAGAACACTTGTTTTTCGTCTTGTTGATTCAAAATTCATTTGTTTTTATTAATTTGGTTTTCGCTAAAATCGTGTATGTATTTTTGACAATGACACAGGTGTGTGAAACAGTGTTGTACAATCGATGGTAGCACGGATAGCATATCGATAATGTGGGATGGTACAGTGAACTTAAATTAAGCAGAGAATTCACTAGACGGTCGGGTTCGTAGAGGGTGGGCATATCTGGATAGTTAATAACTAGATCTGGCAGCTATGTCTGCAGATTTGCCCGCGGCATGCCCGTCTAGAGTCTAGAGAACTCTACACTTCAGAGTCAGTCGAGTCAAGCATATTACAATCTTATTGGAACCGTCATCCTTAATATTAATCACTATTAAACTAGTGTGTCTTAAACTTTTAGTCATTAACGGCTATGTTTTTATTTTGTCAAGGCAGTCCCGAATGGAGTGGGAAAGGTTCATCACTGATACATAATATCGTCAATAACAATCGACAATATAGGTGTAGATAACTTTTTTATATGCTTTTATTTTATAGATATACATATAGATATCAAAAAAAATATTCAAAAAGTATCATTCATATAATAAGCTAAATAAAAAATTCCCGCGAAAACGCCACTTCTGTTATGGCGTTGCCATGACGTCACGGCATTCTGAAACTAATTCCGTTATAGTATGCATAAAGTTGAAATTTCTAATTTCTGACATAAGTAAGAGGAAGTTGACGTCACGCGCTGTTTGCGGGCACGTGACAACGAGTATAAAATATTGGATTTTTCATGAATAATTTAGGAAAAATAAAATATCATACTCACAAAAGTGTTTTACCGTATAATGTATGAGATCACCACTTTACCGTATATTGTATGGTATCATCACTGTACCGTATATTTAGTATTTATTGATCTCGTACTATTGTCTGGCTAATGAAAGTAGACACTGAAAAAGCGCGGCAAATTTAAAAAATAAAAGCATGACCACCCTAAAAACAGTAGGCATTTCTTGGAATAAAGTATTTTGATACTTTTGCAAAATACAAGGTATAAGTAATTTATAAGATTATTATTTAATAATACAATAATGTATAACATACACAAGTAATATAAATGACTGGGGCTGTGCAACACAAAAAGATTATTTTGAATCCAAACTAGTAGTTCCTGAGATTAGCGCGTTCAACCAAACAAACAAACTCTTCAGCTTTATATTAGTATAGAGAGATGTAAGAAAGAAAAAAAAAAATGTTTGTATTGATTAAGAAAATATATATTTAATCACCATAATCAAAATCTGAATCTAAGAATTCCATATGTAGGGATTCATTATCAGAGTCACTGGAATCACTATCTCCAACATTGATAATAAAACTTTCCAAATTATCTTCTGTAATACAATCTCTTTCTTTGTATTTATCCTCCACATGTATAACATGATCTGTCATTTTCTTCCATTCCACAGGTGTTATGTTTTCAAATGACTCTTTTATCACCTTTTCTAACTCTACTGCAGACAGAGCTATATTTTTACTCGCTACTTTACGTTTAGCCAAACTCCATACCAATTCAATAGCATTTAAGTCGCAGTGGTAAAGAGGAAGTCTCAACACCTCATGACCATTCTGCCTTAAAAGTTCATCAGCTTCATATATTGGCTCTTGTTTGTGCAATTTTACAAAACATAGCAGTTCTGCTTTCGTGTGGTAGTCTTCAAATGGAATATTATTTATACTAAGCCATTCTTTTATTTCATTTTTGCGGTTTTGTAATGTAGGAGCTTTATTTACAATTACTGAATGATAGCTAGCGTTATCCATAACTATTATACTTGGCTCATTTAAATTAGGTATAAGTTTTTCTTGTAGCCATTTATTAAAATTTGTAGCATTCATGTCATGGTGGTAGTCAGCCATTTTTGACTTAGAGCTGTAAACTATCAATGAGTCTGGTACAGGGCCTCTTTCCGAGCCAGCATGTACAATTATGTACCTTTTTCCTGCTGAAATATTTTCAATCGCACCACTTGTAGAAGGACCTTGCCAAGACTTTTTGGGTTTGTAGTTTTTATGTACATAGGTCTCATCTAAGTAAATTATTTGTTTCCCTTCTGCACGTTTAATACCTATGGCCCTTAAAAAACGGTGTCTCCAGGCAGATATGTCATAGCGTTCAACTAATAATGAACGTTCACTTTTGTTTCTTTTGAATTCAAAGCCATTTGCCAATAGTATTCGGCGAAGAGTTTCCCGGCATCCATTAAATTGAATACTTTCCCGTAATTCCAGCATAAGTGTTTTCAATGTAGGAACATGTTTTCTCACAATATAAAATTCATTAATTTTATTGCGAATAGCATCTACATCAAAACTATCTAACTCTGACACTGTGGGTTTGTGTGGCCGTTTTTTTCCTGGAGTATTCCAGACACCATCATTTACTGCACCTTCCTTTTTTAATCGTTTTAATGTTGTTACACTAACCTCTGTGAAAAATAAATAAAATAAATTGTATTTACTAACAATTAAAAATTATTTGAAATATGTATGTACATACAAATTACAATAGCAAAGTTACCAGTGAGTGAAGCTATTTTTTCTAGGTATTGATTTTGATTTGTTAATCTGTTTTTCTGCTCCAAATCAGTAAGTTTTTTGATAATTTCAACTATTTTATTAACCCCTGCAACATCCTCCAAATTCTCTGTAAATAAATATACTTTCATTATTTTTTTAAATTATATTAATACGTTATATGATAAATGTGCTTGTAGAAATGGTAAATACGCAATTGTTTATGATTTCTTTAACTCAAATTAAAAAGTTAACATAACAAAGTATCAAAGTAATATTGTTTTACTAACCAAAAAAAATTTAATATTACGCGTAAACAACCCTGTTTTTCTTCAAAAACAGCATCATTTTCTTTTTTTTTGTTCTTGAAATTTGGAAATCATACGGAACAATAACTCCCGCACACCACTTTTAATTGTTTTATTCATCCTTATGTACGTAAATCACAAAAACAAGATCACGATAAAACACAACAAATGACAACGAACCACCATCTTACCACTTTGATATTGACATTTAGTATTGCCATGTCAAAAGTTTGCAAATAAACCCAGTGTCTACTTTCATTAGCCAGACTCTATGACTCTATACACAGGTATGAGTTTACTTTTAGACTTTTTTAATGTTGAATGACTACTTAAAAATGCATTATTGTTTATATTAAAAATATCATAGATGACGTCGCACAGAGTGGACAACAAAGTGTATAAAACGGATGTGCCACAGTATGTTTATCAGTAATAGTTTATTAAACACCACTAGAAAAAAATTGATATGTATTTATTTTCGTTTGCTGTTTAGATCCGTATTGCAACCGCCAATAGTCGTAGTAAATTGTACTAACAAAACTATTTTAAAGCAAACTATCGATGGCGATACGAAAGTACTGCTAATGCGACAACACTGCATATCACCTTGATTTTTGATTGACAGTATACTAATTAATGTTGCTAGCAGTGATGGAATAATACCCATTTATGGCAAATAAGGAATTTAGAAGTAAATAAAAACTAGACTTCTTACAAGTTCCATTTTTTTATATCATTACCAAAAGCTTCACTAATTTTCACCTGTGTTCAAAATAAATCCATATGTGTCTTAAAAAAAATATTTGTAATTTGTACAGCAAGCCTATTGGTAACTTGCCCTAAAGATTACCCCTCGCTTAAAATCCATTTGCTATGATATAACCACGCCATCTCAAGGTCATCGGTGTACTTGCTTCGGCAGTAGATATACTAAAATTGGAACTCAAGGTCATCGATTTCTATTTTAACTTGATCACTTTGGTAGTTTCATAGCAAATTCAAAGAAAGGAACCAAATCAACGGTTCATCATTGAAATAGATATAGATACCAATTTATAACACGCACCTAAAGACACACGAACACACACACGCACAAACACACACACATATCTGTGTGTGACAATAAATAAAGTTTTATTTAAATTTATTGTAAAAGTGTTGCAAGGATTACATTATTTAAGGAATCTTATACCTATATTAAAGATTCCGTACCTATATAAAAAGAGTCCTATATGATAAGAAATTAAAAAATTTTGATTGCTCTGCTATTCACATGCCCTTAGCAAAAAAAAACTTATTTGGGTGTTATTTCTTTATAAATAAATGTTGATTTTGAATGTAGGCACAAGTTGTCGTAGCAGCCTATACGCTCTTAGTAATAATTATACATACATAATATACAATTTTATTTTCTATAAATATAATATTGTAGCAAATAGTTACCTCTGTAATTTCTAGGACTTTGATACATTTCATTTCTTTGCCCGCTTAAAACAGAACTATCCTCTTGAATTTGCAGCATCTTATATGAAGCTATATTTTAATGTCGGTACACACAGCTCACGTTGATTACAATAATTTACATGAAAAAAGAAATTTGTGTACCTATTTTTAAAACTAAATGATAAAAAATACCAAGTATTTAAAGGTACATAATTTTTGTTGCTGGGCTTATTGACAATCAGTGACAAATGAAACTTGTATTCTCCATAGACTAAGTAAGAAACTACCGTTTTGTATTCTTTTTCCACAGTAGGGATGTAGACAACTTTTTTATTTATGTATTTATTTCCGTTAATAGTCTACACTCGTTTTTATCATTAAAATAAATCATTGAAAGATTCTAAGACTTTACTAGGACCTACCTAACTATTTTTTATGAAAAATAACCATAGACTACTGTTAGTCGCTAAGTATACCAAGTTCTATAACTACCGATTTCTTCTAAATACAGTGCAAAATTGCAATATATGAGGAATAATTTAGCGGGATAAAAAGAAATTATAATATCATTAAATAAATAACCTTAAATAAATACTAACATACCTATGTAAAGGCCGTTCCTTGTGGTGCTCGGACTTTTCTGCCTACCCCGCAAGAGATCGAGCATGGAGATATTAATAGAGAGATAGAAATATTAGGAATAGAAATTGGACGAAACTTGAACAATCAATAAAAACAGCATAGGTATATATTTCAAATTTATTATGTTTTAAGGGACCTTTATCTGTTTATACGAAGGCAAGACTTTATCACATTCACAGCCAATTTTTTTTAAATACCCCTCACTAGGTGCGGGAACTATCTGTGATCCTGAAAAGCGATCTCCGGACTCCTATACCACTTCATAATATGTAGTTTATTTTACTAAAAAATAGTCACCGATGAGTAAAAAATCACTGCAAACCAAAATACGCCGACATGTTGAATTTGATAACTAGAATTCCTTTCGCGATCGTCATCAAGTTCAAATTTTAAAGCGTCATTTATATATAGAACTTTTTCGATCGCATTTCTTTCCCTTATAGCGCTTTGTTCTATGCTTTTCCAATATATCGGATGTAGTGTGGCAAGGCACTGAAACAATAAGGAAAAATGTTTTTTACCACCGTCACGAGAACCACATCTTTTATTTTCAATTAAACATTTTTTTAATTCTCACACAAAATGTGAAGATATTTTCCTTTAGGAACTTATACTTGAAGTCATATTCAACTTGACGTTACTTTATTCAGCTTTTAATAACTACTCGCATCTACAAAATTACTTATCAGTACAATGAAAGCTCGGTTATAACAATCTTTACTAACTACCTATTTGTCTTAGGGTTAAGGTACACACGGCTGCAGGTAACCAAAGGTTGCCACAATATGTCAAATTTCTGCAATGGATTTTAACCCCTGCCCATAATGTATCAAGGTTTAAAATCGAGTGGGGGAAATTTGACAGTTTTGTTTAGTCTGACATATCGTTGACTGTACTTAAGTACCGTAATTTTCTCTGAAAATTACAAGAGAATCCTATGAATAGACCTCCATGACGGCTTTTCACTATTTTACATTTTAATGTGTTAGGTTCATTTTACCATTGAAACTAAGAAGGCTTAACTTACCTTGACATTAAGTCTACTATGTTTAAAATACACATCTTTAACTTCTAATTCTAATGTGGATTTAGTGACTGTGAGACCTCCTTTAAGTTTTTGATATTCGAGTGAATGAATATCTGACAAAGCAGGTTCTCCATTAATATACCATGTAAGGTCTGTAGCTGGACATGATCGGCCTGACACGCAATTTATTAAAAGTTTATCGCCAATTCTGTATCTTTTCAAGAGACCTGATATCACTGGCCCATGATCGGGGAGCACTGAAAACAGGCAAACAAGCATTGAGATAAGACTACAGCTATATAAATTAATTTAAACGGTCAAGGCTACTTTGTCCAGATATTTATTTATATATATATATATTTAATAAACATAAATATCAGGCGGGAATTGAACCACGAAACACCTTGTTATTTCGATTCAATGCTATAATTTATTGCCCTATTGAAATTTTCAATACTTTTGTGTTACATTTTAGTAAATGAAATCTTTTCAACCTTTAAATAATCATCTTGGTCGGTTTTTCTTTACAGGAAATTTTAGATTTAGATTACGGAAAGAGATTGGTTCGAAACTATCTACATTGACGTAAAATGAAAATACAATAAATAACGCTTTAGTAAGTAAGATACCCGATAATGTATTTTGATTAGAGATCAAAGAACACCCTCTTTGTGTTCGGTGATAAAATATTTAAAATCGCTACATATGGAAACAATTTTTTTATTTAAATAGGTACGTAGTTTCGTTTGTAGAAGAGATATCTAAGATAGGGATTTCAAACGAAATACTTATATAATATGTACTAACTTGCATTGTAGAAAATAATTAAAATACTAACGTACAGTAAGGCTGTCAGTACTGTATAAGTTTCAATTATGATTCAATAACATTACTCGGTAGTAAAATAAGCGTAAATACAAGAACATTTTATCCGCGATTCGCCGGGTATACTTCAAAATATAAATTATATAATTAAATATTTAAAAAATTTACCTATCACTTGCATGTCACCATATTTTGAAACAGTTGGAAAGAACGGTTTCTCCCCAGATACTTCGCAGCGATATCTCCCAGACGTTATTATGTTGTCGACGGCTAATGTCAAATTTGCACCAAAAGAATCTGCCTCCTGCGAACAGTCCATTCAATTTAATGTTCATTTTACAAGAAAAAGAGAATAGAAATTTTCAACATTATATACTTTAATAAGCTAGATTTTCAGATAAATTTTAGGTATCTGTTTGTAACTATTTGATAAATAAATCCATCACAAAAACTTCTTCTGCCATCACTAAACATTTCTTCCGCTATTTTTTATTATAATAATGTTTGATAATTTTCAAGGTTTATTTATCGGCATCGGTTAAACCAAAAACAGTTTATTATTTTTACATTTAAAAATATGTTAAAATAAACAAAGAAACATATTATAATTACCGTAACTTCAATTCCGGGTAGTGAGAATTTTCTCAGAGGCGTTTGATTCTTTGGTACATATCTGAAAAACTCCTCGCCGTCTTTATACCATTTGACTGAGTACAGCACATCGTCAGGTCCAAGCTGCCAAACACATGACAAATGCGCTTGCCCTCCCACCTGTACACTAGTGGGCACATGGAGTTTCGTAAGCTGCAGCGATCTCACATACACTGGAAAATTAAAAATAAAAGATATTGGGTTTTGGGACTAATAGTGTTATTTAGTGTTGCATTTGACCAGCAATATTCTATAAATTATACATATAGACTGTATTGCACCATAATAAGATTCAAAGTTAAGGTTTATGCTAAGTTTGGAATGCGGAATGCGTTGCACCATCATCTTTTTGGCATAGCTAGTAAAACAATAACGAAATCAGCGAATCTTGGACAGTTATTATTAACAATTAAAATTGGTACAACAAGCCCTTTACTCTAGGATAGTTAACGTTATATTACCTATTTATAATACACACGGTTGCACATCAGGCTACCACAATAAGTCTAAATTAATCAACTGATTTTTAACTCTACCTACAATGCATTAGGGCTTAAAATCGAGTCATCGAGAAATTTGACAGTTTTTTATAGCCTGACATGCTATTGACTGTACACTTGCTTTAAACCTTTAAAACTCCACTCAAAAAACAACAACATTTTGACTAGTATGAACTATGGGTCGGTACAATTTAACTTTAACTCAAAAAACATAATACAAATTTTCAAGTTTCTTTCTATCTTCAAATATGAGGTATATTTTAACTTGTGAGTTTCTAAAAAAAATTCTCACGCTCCTTATGCCCATTACGCGTTGATATAGCTCTAAATAGTAAAGCACTGACAATCTTAGATTGATGTGAAAAATTAATAATATCTATACTTAGTAATTATACACATAAATACAATATTACCTGTTATCGAAAATAAAATAGGAAGAAGAAGCATGTTATTCCAGAGTTCGGAATTATGGTGAGCGATTCGATTAGCGCATTGAACTGTAAAAAAAAGAGACACAATAACAAAATCAACCTTATATTTCTAGTCTACTTAATTAAAAAGAGTTCAAAACAAGGGATAAATTCAGTCGTGGAAATAAAAAATACAAAATTTATTCATTAAATTCGAATACTAAGTATACAAACTTAACAAACGAGAAAAAGTCAAGCACTATTATAAAATAAAAAGACAAGATATGACTAAAACCAAATATAATCTATTTAATAAGAAAAGTTTATGAATAATATCATTACATAAGAGTGGCAAAGAAACTTACCTATTTTATTTATATTCCTTTAAATATTTAGTTTTTTTTTTAAACCACATTGAAGTTTACTATACTTTTGACACAAATTGTTCATTTTATCCGAATATAACTAGTACAATTGTTGTTAAAGTAATTCTAACTAAAGAATGATCTATGTTTATGATATGAAACGAAAAGCTCGCCGAACGACCGCGTGTAGCTTTTACGGTAGTCAATTTCAAAGTAAACGAAGGACAGTCACCATGAGTCCAGCCTTAAATGAACCTCATTTTCATTTACAGTTTCGAACTAAAACTACTAAAAGGGTGAAAACAGTCGCATTTTTAATGGACGGTTCATAGTGTAATTAAGTTGTTTGTCAGTTCAATTACACACTGCCATAATTTCTCCTTGTATAGTATCATCTTTACATTAAGAACAAATTATACTTATTATAATATAATTTATAAATATCATTTCTTAATTAGTAACTCGTGTTATCTATAAAAGTGTTATTACTATTTGTTCTCTGTGACTTAATAACTAGTTAGCTAATTGTTAGGTTGACTGTGAGCAAACCAGAAACGACTTAACTAATACAACAATTGCTAAACAATATACAACTTAGTGAAAATTACATTTATATACTAACACATTTTGCTACTTGAAAGTTAGCATTTTAAAAAGCATACCAAACGTACAATGAAGTGCGGTGTTCCACAAGGGTCGGTCCTGGGACCGCTCTTGTAGAACATAGGATATGGCCGGCTGCTTCGTGGTCGGTCTTTGCTGAAAACAAGGGTCGTGTGTTACGCTAATGACAAAATACGACATTTTAGAAAGAGTAACGGAAAGAGTAAGAACGGAAGCAAGCCGTCACCTAGTGATAGGAAGGATAAGGAGCATGGGGCCGGAAGTGGCGATTTTCCATGGCCCCAGGTGAGGTCCCCGCATGTTTCCCGCAAGCTGTTCGCCGGATTCATAAAGAGTACGGCCCTATAAGGGATGCGTATTGGCCTGTATGCCCCTCTGGGACCTTAGCTTCAAGGGAGAGAGGAGGTATACAGAGGGAGAGTGATGGCTCGCTCTAGAACGCGGAGAGCCGGCCGTACCAAGGGAACTGGCCGCCATCAGCAATAAAACCCCACTGGAGAGTTGGTCGCACAGCTTCGAATACCCTACGTTTGGGTACTCCAGCCTGCGCCGATTAAAAAATAGTCTTTGACTAATATAATACCTGACCAACATTATCATAGTTAAAATACTTATTTTGTAAAACTAGTGGTAGGAAGTTCGCATGTCAAGTCGATTAATGAAACTTAGTAGGTTTTTTGATCACCATTATACAATAATAGAGAATATTTAAATACCATATTTTATAACTATAGCATAATTTAATCTTATCCTTATGCCTATACGAATAAACGAAGCCTATTCTTTGGGATTAGTGACGAACGTTAACTTGGCCGATCGTTGGTTCAGTCTGTACACGTCATATTAAGATGCACCACCTGGCCGATTGCATTAATTTGCCTCCTATCATTTACTATGAAATAGCATACATACCTTGTTCATGCTCCAAAGGAAAACCGAAGGAAGTCTTATCTTAGATAGTAATTAAACAATCGTTTACAAATCGATACGTAGATTATTCCCTTAGTTTTCTATAATCGATCGCCTTATCGAGTCTATTGTTGCATGGTTGACATTTAGTACATACAAGGCCATATCATGAGTCTAAATTAGTCAGTTTAGCAATTGTTTTAATACGGTTAATTTTAAATGCCGCATAATTTTAAAATAGTATTAATTTAGAATATATTATAATTAAAGAGAAGATTTTTGATAAATAAAAGCATAGTGCGCAATTTGCGTAATTTTAGCCGACTTAGCCCATTCTCCTTTGAAAATAAGAGTACTGGATTTATTCATTTTTGATTCCACAATCACTTTTCAAACCGGTTTATCTTAAAAATGAACTGATATGACTGATAAAAAAAAAACAAACTGTTATTTTGATAACGATGAATACAGTAAAATGTTGAGTTTAAAATTTTTAAAATTTGTATTTGACCAGATTTGATACTAAACGACTCAATCAAAAATCATTTAAATTAAAATTTATGGTCAACCTAAAATTGAGTAAGCCCGCTAGTATTTTATTCTTTAATATTTTTCAATATATCACAAGAGTATTACCAAATGTTTTATGAAGAAATTCGTATAAAGCTTTCACTATAATTCCTTAAATAAACGAGTGACTATTGTAAACTACTTAACGTATTGTATTGCACACCGTGCGCTATACTTGGAGTTGAAATGTACACAGTAATTCTGCCGTAAATCAAGCATTACCTTTAAGAGGTCTCATAGCAAATTGATTTTGGAGTTGAGAGAGAATATGCTACCGTTCCAAACGATGATGTTGAAAGGTCTATTCAATAATGTTTATGAAAAACAAAATGTAATAAGAACCAAACAAAAAAAATATACTATATGCACTTGGCACTTGTTATAGGTTGTTTTAGGCACTTGGGGCACTAATTGTGAAGTTGGCCCTTTAATTGAATGGCGCCGTTCAATCGCACGCCTAGTTTTCTAGTTGTATCAAAATGGCATTTGGATCGTTCAACAAGACGGCTGATTTAAAAGCAGCCTAAACGGATATCTTAGTTCTTAACAGATATCAAAACTAAATGAATTAGTTTTGATATCTGTTAAGAAAAATCTCACCCATCACGCGATCTACAGGACCAAAAAACTTCGTTATTTATCATTTTATGTTATTATTAACTAATGGAAACATACTAAAATAATAGCAGTCAAATGCATTGCTTCTCTGCTTCTTAAACTGTAGAAATACAGCTTATTCGAAGTGGTCTCCATTGGCCGCAAGTCCTAAGTCACCTTTTAAAATAAGCCACGTGCTATGTTTACCTCCCGAAATAAAATATTTTGCTTTCGGACAGGATTTCTTCTAATTCTTTCCCTTACTGCTTTGATCGCCTTTATTGTACGACCACTACGTGGTTGGCTAGATCTTTTTCTCTCACAAAATGAGGTTTTATTGTACCGGTACTTAAGCATTTGACTAATACCAAGCGTTCAAAATTCAAAAGGAATACTTTGTTTATTTTTAATGCTAACAATATTTTTGGCGAGACTAAATAGATAACGTTTCTTAAAAAATACTGAATGTGAATTTTTTGCGATATGATGGTTCCCCTTTTTAATCATTTCGCATATAAAAATGTATGCCTAAATTAGAGATGGTTCTGACGCTCAAAATTATAAATTAGGAATGTATGCATTAAGAGTATGCCTTAAGCTTTTCTACAATATGAAGTTCTGCCATTTGCTGTTCAGAATTATCCAAAAAAAGAGGAGACCTAATTACATAATGATAAGGTTCCTTAGTTAACATTATAGTTTTGGGGATATCAATAATTAATTACACAAGAAAATAAGTATCTAGTTAGTAGTAGAAAATATTTTAACTATTAGATAAGGAAACTTTAGTAAGCCAATAAGTGGATTTTTTCTGTTTGCAATGTAATAATAATTACCATGATTAGATGAAATATTTAAATTTATTTGTGGAATTACCGACACCATTTGCTGGATAAGTATAGGTGCACCATTTCTGTCCACGGGTTTATAGCTGTCAGCAATATGAACACAATTATGGCAAGGGCAATTCAAATATGGCCTCCTGCAAATTCACAATGGGCTAAAATTAAATTTCTTAGTAGATGACGCGTGCCCCACTAAAATTTACCTCTATACATGGCGAGTGACTCATGGTTAATGCAACCACCACACCGGTTCCTAAAACAGGGTACCGATTCCTACCCTTTATGAAAATAAAATAACCTAACGCTTACATACATGTTACGAATGGAAAACTAATACCTAAACACGTTATGTTCCAATTACTTGGTACCGTCTTGGTTATATATGATGTAGTTTTCTGCTTATTGGGTTTATTCTCAATCAATTTCAAAATAACTGATTTTGTAAGACAATATAGCGGCGCGGCGTAGCATGTTTAATTTGATCAATTGTAGCTATTTGTTTATCAATTTTTATTTCGAAAGGGGTTTGAAAATTCTTACCAGCATTTATAAATATATTTGATGGTAGGAGTTTTCAAAGCTATACTCGGAAGAGCCTCAGATTATATATTCTGTCGTATGGTAAATTCGATAACTATACCTACCTATATCATTTTCCTACAGTGAAAGTCAAGATCGCGGGTTTTAAGTCTATCTGTAGCTAGCTGGCATGCTTTATGTTTGGTAAGATAAAAAAAGTCAATGAAAGGTCAAACATGGACTCCATACAATTTTTTTTAATTCATTTAATCGTTGTGTCAAGAGATGATATGCGAAGTATTTAAAGATGTTACTTTTACGTCTGGTCAAAACGCTGCAGATCTTACGATTTGGTTCGTGTGTTAAATGACGCAATTTGTTCCAGGCCACTTGAATGTATTTAATTAATGATTTCTGGATTTCGTTATTTAATTTTAATGTCATTAACATACTTTCATTATTCACTCCAGTTTTTACTTGCGATTTGTCCGCATGGAATCACACTGCCTTGATATTTTGCAAAAATAATGCCATATCCATCCCCAAGCTTTAAATTATGTTGAATATAAATTTTATCACAATCAGCTCATCATTATGATCGTGAAAGCATAACAGATAAGCAAAGCTATAGATTAATGTGATTTTTGTGTATGTGGTTAATGTAAACGACGACATGAACTTGAAATGGTACCAATAAGATATTTGACTAACTTTTTCATACGTCTAGGTAGGTACAGGAATGAATTATTCAAATATATTCAAAGCAAATTCTCTTTTATTTTTATCCGACGTTTTAATGGCGCAATGTAGGGCTAATGGTTTGAACACCATTGTGATGTGAACTCAGCCGAGAGATATGTTTTGACGTCCTCCACGTCCCTTTATAAAAACGTTTTTTCGTCGAAAAACAACAGAAGACTTTGGAACTCGTTAACGTTTAGAAATATTAAGTGATATTTATAAAAAAGATGTGTTTGAAGTTCAATTATTTAAGTTTTATGACTGCGGTGGTAGTTGTGGTGGCGTTGTGTGCTGGACCGAGTCACGGTGCTCGATGCAAACCGAGGCGATATACTCACAAGGCAATGCAGACGGATCAGAATGGACGACGATGCTGGGGTGACGTGCCAATCAGATCCTGTTGGGGATACTGCTTGTCGTATGAAGTAAATATCTATTTAAATAGTTTCATCCTTTTTAGGATGCCACGTCTTGAAAAGAAAAACCGGTTAAGCGCGAATCGGACTCTCGCAGGAAAGGTTCCGTGCGTTTCCAGGAAAGAAAACGAGCAAAAATGTTATTCGTTCTATTAGTGACCTATTTAGTTTTATTAGTTCTTTTTTGTTATAGCGGCAACTGTAATACATCATCTGTGAAGATATCAACTTTAGACAGTTGTATGTATTACATTCACGATTTTTGATTTACAGACAAACAGCGAAGTCTTATTAATAGGGTTCTCCTTTTACCCTTTGGGTATGGAATTCTAAAAACGGAACTCGTAATGGATCACCCGTCTATTTGTTCTTCAATCATAGTTAATTTACTAGATATATATTTTTCACCTACTAATCCGTAGTGGGTGCATGATCCATGACTTTGTATATACCACCTTACAAATTCCAATCTTAAAGAACAGATAATCGAGAAACAAAACACAAAAAAATTGATATATCGAAAAATACTTATAGTGAAACTTAAAACGAAGCCAATTATTTAATAGAAATCATTGGTTATGAATCATGCCATAAGCCAACGCCCCATAATTGCTAACATAACATGTCAAATATGTAAATCATATAACATAACACACGCAAGTGCACGGTATTTTTCACTTTTCATATCTAGTCATTCCATTGGCTCGCATATGAATTAATTATTGAATATCACACACACACACACACATGCTAGCAAAAAAAAGTTAAGAAAATAGAAAGACATAAAATATGGAAAAGAAATGAAAATAAATGAAAAAATTATATATTTCATATACGATTTCTCGGAATTACAATCGTGGTTGAGATCATCCTAGTAGGTTAAATTTGATTAATTTTGCATTCACAATGCTCAGTGGTTAGAGCAGTCACCCGGATAGCGAAAGGTTGTGGATTCGATTCCCATCTAAGGGTGCCAGGGACCAAGTGGATTTTTTAAGCATTTTGTATTAAGAATATCATCCTAGTAGGTATACAGGAATACCTGTTACGGGAGGTCCCGCTCGCCCTTAACATACAATGACAAGAAGCTTGTAATATAAACATAAATTTAACATGTTATGGAATAATAGTAGAATATAGTAAAAATATCTAATTAACAATTCTTTTCTTTTTATTATTATTTTTTTTTATTATGTTATATAAATTAATATATGCTATTACAAAATCTTTCAATATACATTTAGAAATGAGCCATTGTACTGTTGATTCTTTGCATTGTTTTAACTTTAACTGTTTTCATTAAAAAATTATATCAGCAACCTTATATTTTCTCTTAATTTTCCTAATGTTAATAATATATGGTAAATATTTATGAAGTCAGAGTTACCGAAATAATGTAATCAGTTAGAACTGATAATATATGATATATAATAGCTGACAAAAATAATTGAGTTCTTTTGTAGGGAAACCAAATGGCTTAAAAAACATTACTTTGAGAAGACATCGCTGACTCCTCTCTAATTCTAGAAACTTTGTCTCACAACAACAACACAACACAATATCTTCTAACCGATAGACCCAAGGCGATATAAATTTGTTTAATGAGCCCTTTGGTAGGTGCATGTCTAAGTTTCTTAAAAATCCATGTTAAATCTCTCACTCTATTGCTCATTGATTCAATATGTGAGTGCCGTATATAATATTAAATCATACACACGATGCAAAAAGTGCTTTCTAATATTTGTCAAGATTTCAGATTGGCAGTTTCCTTACAAGGAGTCCCACCATCCGGTTTGCGTGCACGGAGAACGCAAGCATGCTTCAGTGAAACTGCGACATTGCGATCCTGGCGTAGTTCCAGGAACAGAAGATTATCATTATGTTGAGGCTGCCAACTGCCGGTGCCAGGTACCTAGTTATAACAGAATGCTTCCTGTCGAAGTCTATTAAAATATCAATATATATATATATATTCATTTATATTAATAAATGTTCCTGAAACATTTTCAGGTCTGTTCATCTGAAGATACGAGTTGCGAATGGCTTCCACCAGATTCTTCTCTTCTTGGCGGTTTAATATTGAAAGAAGAAATAGAAGAAGAATTTTCCGAATGATCGTTCTAAATCAAATACGATTCATCTATCGACCGACACCAGTACGTTATTATTAAAGCATAATGCTAAATTAAAATACCTAATCCTAATGTACATTCCTCACATGTTGCAAGATTTAAATACTTATTTAACTAAGTTTGTGACGTTTATTTTCTATTTTATTAGTTTAAATATTAAAATTTGTTAAACTAAATAAACTTTAAAAATACTTTAATTGAATGACCTTCCTAATGGGCTTATTTCTGAAATTAAGAGACGAAAACAGAAACGAACGAAACGAAAACATACAAACAAACTCCACACTGAACCGAACAAACTGAGCTCGGATGGCCGGTGCATCGCATTTTGTAGTAATTTTGCAGATAATAAAGTGCCTTAAAATTATGAAATCTTTATTCCCGAAGTATTTATTTATTTATTTACACTTATTATAAATTTATAGAACAATACAAACATGAAAATCCTAATTCGCTTAACAGCGATTTCTTCCAGGCAACCTAAATTGTGAGAAGAAATCATGCCCAGTAATAAATAAGTGAGATTAGCGTGCAAAAAATAAAATTATTTATTTGAGTAGAAGCATACTAAACTTTACCAATTATATCGTACATAATTATAATAATAATAATGTGTTCCATAAATGATAATATATGAAAATAACAATAAATTAATAAGACGCAAGGACCACTAACAATAATAATCATCAGTGATTCGATACATCGGAAAAGAAGTGCTTAAAGTGCTTAACAACAAGGGTCTTGAAAGACACTAACATTTGAGCTCGTCTAATGTTTTCAGGTAAAGAATTCCATTACCGTATAGCTTGTAAGACAAAAATTTGGCTATAAAATTTTTAAAGTTTAACGGAATGTTAAGCCGGAGATTGTCGTAAGGACGGAGGGAAAGCTCATGCGTAATAGATAGAAATTTAAAACGTTCTTTGAGATATATAGGTGTGGACGGATTAAACAGCACCAAGTAGAGAAGGGAAAGGATAGGGAGCCATTTTAGTCTATGACTATGTCGAAAATCTATAAGCTTAAACGTTATAATTCAACTTGTCTTATTATAAATAGTTTGAATCAGTGAAAATTTAATTATACATCGATTTATGAAGTTATAACTAACCAAAGCTTGTAATTTAAACGATACAAGTAAAAGTGTTATAATAAAAAAAAACAAAGACCTATCTAATTATAGTTAATTATCAGTAGGTAGTTATTAGTAATCGCGTTCGTAAGAAATCATTTGTCGTGTGCAAAATATCGATTATAAAGGAAGAACAGATGAAAGTGAGAATGAGATGGCGAGAAATCATTCATACCAAATTTACAAAAAAAAACTGAAAATCATGAACATTATGAATCAATCCGATATAATTACCAGCATCAAATTCACATCAATTATGATTTAGGTAATCAAATAAAGAAAATTTTTGAAAATCTTTTAATGCCATTGGAACAACTCTAAATGTATTTTTTACTTTTCATGTACCGATCAATTGAATCAAATCATATTATTAATTACTTATTAATATTCATCAAGTAGAGAGGGTGCAACGCGCAATTCTTAAGGTGGCTGCTGGTTTTCCCTTTCGATTTCATCCACTTCCCACATTCTTCCCGTTCCCCTTCCACACTTCCCACACTCTATAGATGAAGTGTAGACCTCTATAGAGTGTGGGAAGTGCTTACAGTCAGACAAACCTATGTCTTGCACACTGTTCTAAGGAAACACATCGAATTGAATTACGATCCACAGTTATTCAAGGACATTTCACAGAACAACCACCTCGCATAAATTTTTGGTTTCTTAGGAAGTTACCTTTATAATAAATTAAATTCGATTTCAAATATTTATCCACTTCCTAAAGCTCTTTGTAGAGAAACTGTTGCAATTCACCTACGAGAATTAGATTATCAATCCACTGAAGCTCTTCTTATACCTCTTAAATAATAAAAATACAATTATCATATTGCTAATCAGCCACGCCTAAATGAGTTACCCTGGTATAAACATAAATGTGTATTCACAGACACATACGTACGCCCACACACGCACTCACATGCAAAACGCACACACACTGACACACACACGCATGCACAAATACATACACACACAAAGCAAAATGTGAACTCTATATTTAAACTCCTTTTGTATTTCCTTTTTTAATAATCTTTTTATTAGGCATTGTTTCCTAATGCGGGAAGGCCCTGGTGACCCGTGTAACCGGTTTATTTTTGAAACCTATAGCAGGCACCAGCTTTTCACACTTGAGTGAATGTATAGTCCTAATTTTAGTATATAAAAAACCTACTGTACAACTTTTGGTGAAAAGAAATAAATTATATTATTATCATCATCATAAGCCCCTTTACATCCCCACTGCAGGGGCTCAGGACTTCCTTATGGATGCTTAAGGAGGATGGGCCATGACACTCCACGCTGGCTCAATGCGGAGTGGAGGGTATTAACGACTGTAAATGCAGCCGGGACCAACGGCTTAACGTGCCTTATGAAGCAGGGAGTAGCTCGAGAAAAAAATTTTTTGGTCACCCATCCCGTGACCGTCCCTTACGAAAGTTGCTTTACGACAACGATCGCGGGCCGAGGCGACTATCACCCACGCCACTGAGCTACTCTATTTATTAATATTAAATAAAATAAATTTAAAGTAATTCCGATAACATACAAAAAATCTGATCTCAAAATATAGGAAATTAAATCCAAGAAACGACTTCTCTGTTAAAAAAATGTGATGATTCAGGAAATAAATTCAACCATGCAACCTATCAAATGGTTGGTATTTGAAGTCTAATATATAATAGGCTTGATTAATTTAAAGGGCAATTTGGACTGAGAAACGCCTTTCCAAGTAATAAATTTCAAAAATAGGAATTAGACTAATTTCGATTCTTAAAGTTAACAAAATTTCCACTGGCAATTATTTCAGTAAAAAAATTTAATAGATCTTCTTCAATTATTATCTGTTACATTCCATGATTTTTATTTAAATTCAAACACAAATAAGTAATATCCACTAATTTATCCGGATATTAATGAGGAGAACGCTGATGAAGACAGCTTAATTATCTTGTTATAACTATGTTTTACAATATGTTTGAAAAGTGAATATGTTTTATTTAATGTGATTTGAATGCTGATAATTATGTTGAATTGATGATTGATGATAATGAGGAAGTATTTAAAAAAAATCATTAGTTCCCAAAATCAAACTAGATGTCTCTAAGGTACGTTCTTGATTTCTCCATGACAACCTTTCCGGTTTTCTTTCAAGTTTAAAAGTAAATTAGTTTTCAAAACTCAATAAACAACTCGTATTCTATTTGTATTGATTTCCAAGTTTCGAAGTTATCAAATTTCAGTTTTTTATATGTTAGTTAAAAGGAACGGAAATGACTGTCTTTGGTCGTTTCCTGCAAAAATCAAATCAGCTCCAAAGAAGCATTTACGAAATATAAAAGAATTAATAAAAACTTGGCTGTATGTACTAAATCTTTTTACTTTAATTGAATAAGAAAAAATCTTTTTTAAAAAGTATAAAGTCATTAGCCACCAAGCGAAAGTGAAGTGATTAGACGCGCTCAGAGCTATTTTTTTTATTTTATTGAAATTCAAAATTTTACATATTTTATTATTGTTTCTATACGTGTAAAGACCACAAACGTGACATTGGCGGAATTGTGTAAATGCAAATAGGCCATGAATTAAAAAAGAAGAAGAAGAAGTGATTTGCTTTGCTTTTTCTTGATTTTATTCAATTCTGTACAGTAACATATTCAAGAAACAGAGTATTTGTGATTTTAAGTGTGAAGTGTGAAACTTTGAATCAAACTCCTTTACGATCGCGTAATGAACTAATTGATGTTACCTATGGAAAACATTAGTCATGAAACACATAACAGTATTTATTATTTTATTCTTTTCTCCGTCTTTGAATAAGGCTTTAAGTTTAGAGAAATCAGATATTCATTCAATATCAAAGGGGAATACGACGGAACAGAACACACGAACATGGAACATAAAACTTGACATTTATTTTTCTAAATCTCTTCCTCCAATTATCAAGAAAACACTAGGCACGGACGTACGATTAAAATGCGAGGCAACAATGAATTTTACTAAGGTTGAGAAATATACGAAAAATAAAGGTGTTGAAACCTTATCAAAAGAATCTCCTCCAGATCATATACAACAAAGACTCATGAAAAATGTTAAAGTTTATTGGTTAAAAAACAGCCAAATTGTATCAGATAATAATAAAATAAAGACTTCTACGAAAATCGATATGACTAATGGTACTATAGGTTCTAATCTTAAAATAAAAGATCTTGATAGTTCTGATAACGGCAATTACACTTGTGTTATAAAACAGAATTATGAAAAGTATCAGACAACATTATTAAAAGTTTTTAACGATGATGATACTACAGATATTAAGCCAACAGAAAAAACATTTGTTAATAATAAAGAGTTGGAAATAACTATTAAGACTACACCAGAATTGATATCAGAAGATATGAAATCTCAAGGTGAATATATTACATCTCAAAATTCTACATCTGTACAGAAATTAGAACCAATATGTCAAGAATATAATGGTAAAGTGTGTGCTGCACATCTCAAAGCCCAATTTGTTTATATACCATATGACACATCACAAACAGCTATTGAAAATAAGTTGATGACAGCTATCAGAGTCACCCAGTACTCTAATGACATTAGCTCACAATGTGAAGGTTATGCATTGCCTAGTCTGTGTTACTCGACATTCCCTATATGTAGAGACCCAATAAAGACAAATAAAATCTTTTTTGAAGAAGCTAAACGTCTTCTACGTGTTTTTAATTTAACAACCCAAGCTTCTGATGCAGACCATGTTACCTCTGAAATGATATATGATAATGTGCTTCCTGGTTTCATACCAAATTTGTTTAGTAAGTTTAAAAATAATGAGACTTTAGAAATTTTAAACTATAGATATAACTCTACAATTTTAAGGCGAGTATGTAAACAAGACTGTGAAATATTAGAAAATGAACTATGTCAGACTGAGTATGCAATTGCCAAAAGACACCCACATATAGGAAGGCAACTGACATTGGAGGAATGTCAAGATTTACCAGAAGATGATCCTAGTTGTTTGAAAATTGGAATTGGGCCTGTAATGGTATCTGATGACGAGTGCTATTGGGAAAATGGTAGTGGTTATTTAGGCAGAGTTAATGTTGCAAACAATGGAATGGCCTGCATAGAATGGTCTAAACAGATGCATGTTAAAATATCGGACTACCCAGAACTAACAGGGCGTCATAGTTACTGCAGGAATCCAGGAGGCATAAAATCCCAGCCCTGGTGTATAGTTGAGAAAGATGGTAAAACTGAGAAACAACTTTGTGACATTCATAAATGTGCTCATAAAATTTGGATTTACATAGTTATAATTTTTCTTTTGTTGACTATATCCATAGTTGGGTTTGTGATTTGCCTTTGCTATAGACATAAGACAAAAGGAAGTGCAGCTACAATCAGAGATATAAATTTGCCTAATGCTGATAAAAATATATATGGAAACTCTCGTTTGAATTCTCCTATAGAAATGAATGATTTGTTAACTAATCAAAACATTAACAATCAACCACATTTGACAAGAAACACGAGAGGTAATGGTCTCCTTAGGATACCACAGTATTCCCTTTCTCAAATAAAATTTTTGGAAGAACTGGGAGAAGGAGCATTTGGTAAAGTTTATAAAGGAGCTCTCAAAAAGAATGGTGAAACACAATATGTTGCTGTCAAAGCATTGAAAGAGAATGCCTCTGCTAAAACGCAAGCTGATTTTAGAAGAGAAATTGATTTAATTTCAGAACTTACACATGAGAATATTGTGTGTATAGTTGGAGTAGCACTTCGTGAAGAGCCATTGTGCATGCTCTTTGAGTTCATGGCCCGAGGTGATCTGCATGAATTTTTGATGGGTAGAGCACCCCCATCAGGAAAGGGTTTGCCTCCTATGAGATTACTCAATATTGCCAACAATATTGCATCAGGAATGCAATATCTTGCCTCACATCACTATGTGCATAGGGACTTAGCTGCCAGAAACTGTCTAGTATCAGATGACTTCGTTGTTAAAATATCAGATTTTGGACTTTCTAGAGATATTTATAGTTCTGATTACTACAGAGTGAGTATTTTTGATGTTTATATTATAAAAAAAGGATTTAAAAAAATTCAAATCGCAGGTCTTAGATGTCATAAAATAAACCTTATTTTCTAAAATAACATTGAAATAAAAATGTTGTAGGTTCAATCAAAAAGTTTGTTGCCAGTGCGCTGGATGCCACCTGAATCTATTTTGTATGGAAAATTTACAACAGAATCTGATATTTGGTCATATGGAGTGGTTCTATGGGAAATATACAGTTACGGACTACAGCCGTATTACGGGTAAGATCTGCAAAGAAAATTATATCTTATGTACCTTGATTATGTGTTTATAAACCAGTTAAGGTTGAGTAACACAATTATAATCTAACCTGACATCTCTCTCTCTCTCGCTATGGAAAATACGGAATCCAACACAAAACACTCATTAACTAAGTAAGAAGTACATAAAATAGGGATCAGGTAGATTGTTGAAAAATATTATACCTACATATATTTTTTAATTTTTGCGTTATCATTAAATTACGTCGATATATTAAGTTAAAATGTCACATGCCGTCACTCTTGCGAGTTAAATCACTGCAAATCTTAATTCCAGATACAGCAATCAGGAAGTGATAGCGATGGTGCGAGGTGGGGAACTTCTGACTATGCCTGCCGCGTGCCCGGCGCCAATGTACGCGCTTATGCGAGATTGCTGGAAACACACTCCTCAGAGGAGACCCAACTTTGAGGAAATTGTCAATAGGTATAATTATTTTCTTTTTTTCCATTTAGTCTACCTAGTAGGTGTGGGCGTTGAATTGTTTGTTGGGTATCAGCGATAGACAAGTTTACGGTGTACTGATAAACTGGTTTATGCGTGAACGTAAGTTACAAGCGTTGCTTGAACAGTCCAACGCGGCACGAATAATCTGCGAGGCGACTGAATATGTCTATTTGTCTTTGTTCTTCGCGTGCGATAGTCTCTCGCTCGCTCGATTACGTTAAAACATTTTTAAAATAAACTTTAACGTAATAATATAGAGGCGAAAACGACAAATCAGTTTTTTATTCTAATGTGGATGGGGTAGGCCAAGGTTAAATCATGCAATTAGCTTCCTACATTTTAATTTTCTTCGATTGTGTTATGAAAAATGACAACTTTCTCAATTTGAAGATTAGATATTCGTAAATAAAAAATTCTGTACTTAAGAATGAAAAAAGTATGATAGGAAGTCCATTTTCATTGTCCACTTTACTGAACCGTTGTCGCGTTTGTTGTTTTTTTTTTACATAGAATAGACTCCGAAACTACTGAACCTATTTTATAAATAATGGCAGGCTATAATTTACGCCGGCGAAGTCGCGGGAAAACAGCTAGTTTACTAATAATTATGTGTTAAACAAAATCGAACATCATAATACAACAGCGTAAAAAATTATAGTGAAGTTGGTTTTGTCCAGATTGCCTAGCCTAGTTATCATATTTTGTTTTATTGTGTCAACTCCTTAATTACTTAATAGTACACTTATGTATATCTTATGTTTACATTACGTACTAATTGTAGACAAAGTTAAGTGCGAAAAATTGGAGTCGTCATACCTAACCTGACCTACTAACAATAATGACATTTAACTATCAAAATGTTTTTGTTGCAGAATCCAAGAATGGATTCACATGGGCGGTTGTCCTGATTCCGTTATATCAGAACCCGGCAGTAGCAGTGCTTGTACCCACAGGGCAACGGGTTCAACTAGAGATCTACAGGAGAAAGTTCCACTGTTGCCTCCACATTGTTCTTCCTCGAATGGTTCTCTCGCAACAGGTAGCCTTAAAAAGTTTAACACAGTAGGCTCTAGCTCGAGGGCCACAGATGACAATCGGTCCACCACCAGTGAGTTACCACCGCTGGGTCCGAAAACAAAAAAGCATAGTTCCGGTTCTCTTATCGATACTGAGAAAGTGGGCACTAGAGAAACAGTTGTTAGGATACCAAACACTCAATTCGGTAACGAAATATAGTTTTAGTTAGTGATTGAATATAGATTGTCTGAACTAGTTAAATATTGCCCATAATATGCATTAACATCTACTGATAAAATTAAAAAGTGACATTTCAATAAGCAAATCTGTTGATGGATGTAATACTTTAGATGTCACATCTCGTTTTGAGTTTAGCAATATTTAAAATTTCGATTTTAAACTTGCTATTAAAGTGAGCGGACAATGTTTAGTAGCCACCCCTAATATAATAAATGGTGATAACGTCACCAACCTTTGTATGACCCCATGTCATTTTTTTCTAAATACCAGACACGTGTGCACATAAGTGAACACTTTTTATTAAAAAAAATATATATATCGCACGAATATGTGAGATAGTATCAAATAGCCGTGCCGCAGTGTCAACACACATGTGATAAGATAAGCAGAGGCGGATATGCTGGCTTGGCCGCCATTGGGCATTTAGTACTAGTACCCTTTTTTAGCTCCAAAAATTTAGGTAAAACCATATATTTTTATTTCTTTACAAAGTCTCAAAAAGAAAAGAAAAGAAGAAAAGAAGCAGGCTCAAAAATTTAATTGTGATCAATATGTCTTGGATAAACGTGAAGATAAATTCCTAATAGCCAGAATTTCATCATTCAGCTTTTAGCACTCATTATTTTATTTTTGGGTCATTTCTGATTAACTCCTTCTGTGGCCTTAAGAGTAAATATGCCTCTGCAAATAAGTGTGCACATGTCTGGTGTAAGGTAAATGTCATTTTAATAAGTGTTTTTGCATGAATTTATAAAAATTACTCAAGGCAATTTCGAAATCGAGTCTTTTTGTAATACTGTTTTTATAAAAGCCAAATAACATGTACTTATTATAATTATCACATAAGCATGAAAAGCATGGTTGTCATTTTGATATCAAATAGTTTGTATGTATATTTAAAACTGTAATTTAAGTATGATTGTGGTGTCGTACTTTATTCGTCTGAATCAGCTTCATATTGTTTTTTTTTTATGTTGATTCTTCCATAATTTCCAGATAGTTTCTTTATTTGGATTACCAAATTTTATACTTACTTTTATAGTTTTATATTAATATAAATTACTTCTTAATGACAGCACAATTTTCAGCATAAACTCGTATATAATAATTTCATAATTACATTTAGTGAAAATTATGACGCGTATTATACTTGTAAATTTTTGAAGTAGATTTATTGGCTTGCTAGTATTAATTAATATTATTATTGTCTAGGAAAAATGGATCTCACATGTAAATTTGTCGTTTTTATAACAATGTATCTTTCAAATTAAGGATACTCCACTTACTTTAAAATTACATATGAATGAATTTGAATATCATATTTGGTATATATACAAAAAAAGCAATTTTTAAGTATATTTTGAAGTAAGTAAACATTAAGTCTGCTACTGTAAAAAAAAAAATTGATAACCAATTGCCTTTACAGATCACGGTATATAAGTTGAACTATGCGCAGGAGTACATTTTAGCTGTGGAGTTACATGCAGCGGGTAGCGCAGGATAGTACTAAGCGGGTAAAATAAGAATAGAACTGTCAAATGGCAATCTTAATTCACATTGCGCTTTAAATTACGGGTGTGCAATTTTTTTTTTTCTTATAAATCAACGCACTATGGAAAACTCGCAGTCATAAAAAGGCGACGCGTTTAGAGTTGACAGCCTTAAAGTTGCGAAAAATAACTACATAATTAGCTATAAAGAAACCAACAATATAATATATACAGTGAAACAAACCCAAAACATATTAAACGAACATTTTCGTTGCTGTCAGTGCTAAAATGACAGGCGAGCCGTGAAGTTGGTAGCTAGCCCGATTATATTCTTATTTGGCTCGCATAGTACTGCACCTGCACAAAATCGCCATTTTGGTTTTACTTACATGCCGTTCATTATACATTAATAATAATTAAATATAACTTACGATCTATTAACATTCATGAATTATTTCAGCTTTCTAGTTAAATACTTTAGATAACTAACGGTGATTCTTTTATTTACGTAGCAAATACTTTAAATTATAAGACTGATTTTATTTCATTTAACTTTCTTTAAAGCATGATTTCTATGTAGGTGCGATTCTAACTTTATTATAGTTCAGTATTTAATAGACATTTAAGTGTAAAGAGTGTTTGTTATAGTCGTCTCTAAATATAAAGAGATAAAACTCTAGTTTCTAAATATTTTGATCCTTTCCCTTGTTAGAATAAACGAATAATGCCTCTCAATTAGTAATGAAGTTCATTGATTTATGTCTTCATGTCTAATCGGTCCAAATCGTGATTAACTTAAGGTTTTTTTGTTGAAAAAAAATCGAAAAATCCTGTTTAAATTTACTCTACTCAGTCTTTTATTGAGAAAATAGATAAATGGATGTAACCGAAGTATTTTTTTTTCACGATAACCGTAATGGTTTCCTAGTAATTAATTAAAAATTGTTCTTTACTCTCTATTTTGCGCAATACGCAATCCACCGTCTTCAATTCTTATATTAATTTGAACGTTGATTTCGTCTCGTTGTCTCTTTTATTTATGCGTAGTCATAGACTATTGCTCACTTGGGTTACGATGTCAGTAAACTTACAAGCATGCTCTCGTGCAATTGGCTACATTTTTTTTACGAGTACACATCTAACCTAGCCAAATACAGTATTTTTCTACATCAATTTTTTTTTACGAGTATGTATTTCAAGTTCGCATGTCGGTTTATTATGCACGACTAACTCGCGTCCAATAAGAGCGCAGATATTACTCTCTGCGAATGGTAAGGTTGGAATAATTCATACGGATATCGCGGAAACGCATCCACAGTGAGCGTAGCTTTAAGATCGGTTGCGGAACGTCAGAACTGACCAACATATGTAACGGAAAAAAAATCTTAAGATTCAATTTTGTACACTCGAAGTATCCATCCCGTACTTTTGTGATACATTGGTGGAAATGTGTAAACACAATTAGGCCATGTATCAAAAAAGACGAAGATACGCTCGGCGGATTTCAGACATATTTGCGCCAATCTTTGAGTACATTTACCAGTACATTCCTAATAATTTCTTGCCGGTTTATCTTATTATATAGGAAATTATAATTTATAATAATGTAAATAATACGTACAGTACTATTGTAGTTATTTATAGTTGTTATTTTTTTATTTAATTAGCATTAAGAACACAGTTATATACAGTATTGATATTAATTTTGTAGCCGAGTAATTTATTAAAATTTGTTTTGAAAGTGCTATTTTGATTAGAATTAAGCTGATAAGTTATATTATTTCTTTAGTTCTGTTCTTGCCAAAGATATCTTTTTTATGTGATACATTTAATTTTGTACCTAGACGTACTTTGTATTTCAAAAATAAAATATTTATAAAAAGTTCAAAAGATAATTCTTTTATTTATTTCCAATTAATACGCCATATTTAACAACATTTGAGAAAATATACAAATAATTCTTTATCTATAGTTTGGTTCAGAGCAAGAGAGAAAACGGACATTGAAACATATATAACAGTGAGCGTCGAGAGAAAACGATATGTATCGCTATCCATAGACCTCTGTAAAAATTTAAAAAGAGATTTTTGTTAAGCTCGTTCTTTTTAACATCTGTCGTGTCATTGTCTATTTTCTCCTGCTTTCGGAATAGATTATAACAAACTATTCTTAGGTAGAGTCGTTATCATCCTTGTTCTTCTTATTTATTATGAACTCTCCATGGACCCGCATGTGGACTTTCAAATTATTATTCCCGGTAAAACTTTTACTGCATACCTTACATACGTATGGTTTCTCCCCTGTAAATAAGGAATTTAAGATTTGAGATATATCTCTACTGGTAATCCTAGCTACGCCAAGTACGCTATTATTGAAGTTTCATCATTATCACCTATTCCCGCTGCTCGGGTTCAGGCCTTCCCTGTGGGTGGAATAGAATCAAGTAAGAGTGAGAATGGGCCACGAATGACACAGTACGCGGGCCCGGTGCGAATTGGTGGGTACTAAAGACTGTAGATGCAGCCAAGATCAATGGCTAACGTGCCTTCCAAAGCACGGAGGTACTGGATACAGTAAATTTTTGGTCACCCATCCTATGACCGATCCATGCGAGTTACTTAAGTACCGCATCACAGACCGAGCTGCGCAATCGACCTTCTCTATAATTTACCTGTATGAATTCGTCTATGCTTGGTCAATACACTGGAATGTAAGAATTTGGCTGGACAAAATTCGCATTTCTTGTCACGGATGCCATTATGTTTCTTCATATGCGTCAACAAGCCCGGCTTCCTTTTGTATACGGCGGGGCAAAGCTCGCATTTGAACGCAGCGACTTTATTGTGAGTCTGCATATGTCTTGGAAGCTACAATAAAATTAATACAATATTCATATTATGTACACGCTGCACGTCAGGTAACCACAATTTATATAATTTCCTCAGTTAATTTTGAACTCTCCTCATAATACTTTAAAGTTTACAATGACGAGGAAGAGTTTTGCATAAATAATAACAAAATATACGAAATAAAAAAATTCTATAGAAAAAAGTCATGGATTTTTATAATGATTGTAGCCCCGTTCTTATACATTTACTGCCATAGCCTTAACAAATCTTTAAAAATATCTACTGAGGCCGACCTGTCCATAAAGGCAAACTAGACAACTATAGGCCTACCAGAATCTCATGGCAAATAGGGAAATTAAAATTTGATGTATGCCACACCAAGGAAATTGGAGTAAATGATCTTGATACTTATGGCAATTTTGATTTTGTACGTACATACAGCTTTAACCGATTTGGAGTTGGTACCTAAACTTCGATTAATTCACACTATTCATTGGTGAAAACTATAGAATAATCTGTACAGTTTTTGATTTTGTCCATTAAAAACTACCAAATAAACAAACAAATCTATTCTCTTTATATTATAAATATAAATAATATATGTTCATAATAATAATACAAACATACATATAATTTTCGAGAATTTTATAAAGGGAGATCCTGCCCCAAGCGAAAATTGAACCCAAAAAACTAACTTGTAAGAGTTTGGTGGACTAGTGCCGCTCATTACAGTTTTCTCAAATCTGGCCAGACGATTACGGCAGACGTCTTTTTTCAACAATTGCAAACCATGCTGGAAAAACTTAAACAACCGAGGCTGGTCAATCGCTCTACGCCACTGCTACTTCACGACAACGCTAGACCACACACTACACAACAGACTGCTACCAAATCAGAAGAGCTTCAGTTGAATTGTTTAAGACATCCACCGTACTCCCCGGACCTTGCTACAACAGATTACCATTTTTTTTTCGAAATTTGGATAATTTCTTGCAAGGGAAAAAATTCAACTCCGATGGGGCAGTGCAAATCGCCTTCAAAGATTTTATTGATTCCCGTACGAATGGTTTTTTAGTAAGGGGTTCAATGAACTACCTATGAGATGGCAAAAGTGTATAGATAACAATGGTTTATACATTGATTAAACAAATATATTATATTAAAAAATATTCGAATTTTTGTTCCTCCCATACCAAACACCAATTTCATATGTAAGGACCTAATATTCAGTGATTTCTAGTTAAGCTATGCCTTGTTCTATCTAGGTAATGGGCATCGTTCCAATGTTTTGCCTAGGGTGTTTAGTTTCAATTAGCCGGCATTACATTAGACTGTACTATTAGACACAATGGCGTTACTTCAGGGTGGCAAGTCGGCAAAATGCCACGGGCCTCCACCTAGAGGGGGCCCCTAGTCAGATGTGATCAGATTTATTATTAAATAAAATAATAATAATAATATCCGATTAATTTGCCACGGGCCTCAGAGTATAGTTACACCACTGATTAGACATATTTTGTTATTCTGCGTGAATTCTCATAGATGGCACTTTACGAGTTTATATTAATTTATGTATAAATACACAAATAACTTACCGACATCTTAGGACCCAGCTGCATGCCACACACAGGACAAATCTTTACCTTCAATTTACATGTATGTCGATCACACTTTTCTTGGTTAGCAAAAATTCTAGAGCACTGTTTACATATGACTCTATTTGGAGTGTGTTTATACAGTACATGATTCTGTAATGTATTTTATTATTAATTTAGATACCTACTACAACTAAGTATATTTTAGATTAGTTAATTACTTATGAGAAGAGTCGAGTGGAAAACTAAATTAGATGGTAAGATTCACCACCTGCCAGATGAAAAACACTTTCTGTACTATATTGCATCATAGGTACAGTATTACCAAAAAATGTTTTACTTATATTTATTTACTGCTGGTTTTTAAGCCATATTTTTAAAAGTTATTTTTAAGCCATATTTTTATAATATTCAATGCTTATAACTAACAAAATGGTGCAGGATTATCACCTATCGCGTAAATTTTTTACTTACATAACAACTTAAAACCAAACCCACAGTTTGTAGTTCCTACTCAGAACGTAATTTAATCACATTTTTAAGAATAATATAGATGATAAACCAAATTACCTTTAGACCCATACGAGATTTACACGCAAATGCACACAATTCGCATGTAAAACTCTTGACTGTACTGTGGAAGACTATGTGCCTGATCAAATTACATTTCATACTGTAACTGAAAAAAAAAATTCAACGTAAGACATTTGTCACGTATATATTTGGCGATCGCTTATGTACATTAAGAAGATAGCCTAATTCAACCGATACATTTGTATAAGCTACCGGTAATCGGTATAATCCGGTATTATATACAATGCCTAGGTAAGGTATATAATACGGAATTGCACACAACTGCCAAAGAGTCAAAAGTGCCTAGTTTGAGTTTCATTTATTTAAGCGAATCATTTTACTACCGCGTCAATCGAGTAAACTTCAAACGGATCGAACGGCGAAAACGAGTTTGAGTTACAATTACATAAGAAAGAAAGAAAGAAAATGTATTTATTCCGGTGCACAAATAAATAGACATAAATCATTTTATAATAATTACAATAAATTAAATAAAACATAATTAAAAAAAAAAGAAAAAATGCGTCACACATTGCACCGAAATAGGCAGCCAATTCAGCTCACTGTCAGGTTGCTAAACCTGACGCTGATTTTCAATTGACGCCTAATTGTCTCTTTTTGACACATAGATGTCAAATTGTCGACATGAAAACCTCTTACAAGTAATTAAAATTAAAAGAAGATTAAAAGAAATTAAACATTACAAATAACAAATTCATTTAAAAATAGTAAAAATTTCAATTATCATTATATATGTGTATTGTAATTTATTCATATTTAAAATAAATCATCCATTACATTCACCATAAATATAAATAACATGCACACGTACATTTAATAAAAATGAGAATTTAAAATTAAGCAACTTTGGAAATTAATATCAATCCATTACAAGAAGCCGCTATATATAAGAGTTATTTGCATTATATATACCTATAGCTATTTGTGCATCCAAAAGATATTTTTTTAGTTTAGTTTTGAAGCCAACGTTCGACTTCATAGCTCTTAGGGGTGGCGGGATATTGTTCCATATTTTGGAAGCAGCATAGCGAAAAGCTCCTTTGAAAGAGGCCGAATTATGTCGTTGTATAGATAATTGCTGTGAACATTACGTGAACACAACGTAAACTATTCAATTTGCGTTAACTCACTGTGAGAAGTGAACGTTTGTAATAAACCGACTGCATTCAAAACTACGTTTGTATATTGCACGTACTGTAGAGCCAGCTGTCTATTAAAATTAAACAGGTTTTATCTCTTTGACGTACCTAACTTTTAATTTTAGTTAAATCTTTTAATAAAAATATATATGCAAATATCTACAATTTATATATATTTTTTATAAATGAAAGTAATGAAAACATTTGTAGGACAATTTAAATTCGCCAACATTGTCAGCAGTCTATTATTTTCCCAGTTATTAGGATAATTACTACACATATGATCTGGCTAGAGTATGAGGTGTTTGGTTTGGTATTATCCATTGTAGGTATAGCCGGGACCAGTAGTTAAGTATGCTTTGCGAAGCATGGATAAGCTTTAGATAATGTAATGCCTATAAAGGTGAAGAAATATGCAATATGTTTGGAGAGTTTTTCTCTACTAAATTTCTTAGTAATGCATCGGATAATACACAAATTCAAATCACGAACGAACATATCCCAACTTCATTCAATTATAAATATCAGTATAAGTATATTTCTATTCAGATATCTTTTATTTATTTTTGATTACTATTATATTTTTATAGTAAAATAAATATTTTTGATTTAAAGTTTCATAGCTTTATTTTATTAGGTCATAGATGATTAGGTGCTATGTAATCTTGATCCACTACAAATGAGGCAATTAAGCCTCACTCGATGTAGTCTATCGTCTCTATCATGGTAAATGTTCTAAAGAATTATTTAACATCATCTTTCCGTAACGAGTTACCACGTGCCGGTGTCCGTTGCCATCCCTAGACTGTTCGAATATATCATCTCGTACAAAAAATTCGGCAAATCATATATTTGCCTTGCTATTAAAAAGTGGAACAGTGTCCCGTCCCACGTGTTTCCATTTACATACAACCTTAGGTATTTCAAAAGAGGTGTGAAGAGACTCTTTCCTTCATTATCCCTACATTCCTACATCTTAAAAATATTACACCTACATTCCTTTTCTAAGCCGGTGGACGCAAAACGGTTTTTGTGGACGCAAAGTGGGTAAAACGGGTCATCCTGAAGTTTGTCTTACTTAAAAAATAAAACCCAAGATGTTTCGAACAAAACTGAATATTACTTTAAAATAAATCATATAATTAACATATTAGGATATTTTTTTTATTTAGAATTAGTACTGGGATATTTTTAAATTCCTCTTCAAACTTTTCAACTGCACTAAATAGACGCTAACAGGCGAAATAACCTTATACCTTAATATCTTAAAAATATTACATACTTAAATCTGAAAAAGAGTCATAGGGGCCGTCCATAAATTACGTCACACATAATTCATGATTTTAAACCCCCCCCCCCCTCCTGTCACATGTTTGTCTCCTAAATAATGTTCTAATGTCACAGTTCGTTGACCATCTACTGATTTATTTTAAAATTATTAAGAAAACATAATGTTATCTATTATGTTTTTGTTTGGCATGCCATCTGTCCAACAAACGAGACTGTAATAAAGTTTTCTACGAGATAGTTTGTCATTACGCAGCTTATTAAATAGCTTATATTCAGTAGCATATTATTGTTTTATAAGCAGTAGTGAACAACTTTTGTCTAAATAAAGCCTTACTTTTGTGTGATTTATATTCGAGAAGTTGAACATTGCAATAATATTTCCTATAAAATGATATATAAAAAACTATTCTTACGCTTTAGAACAGTAGTCACACACAAATTTCAATTCGGAATGGGCATAACGGACGTGTCGTGACAATTTTCTTGGATTACCGAAAGCACTTTCACATTGGGTACATTTTAAAAGCTTTTCCTGGAAAAAAAGACATAAATTACTATAACATTATTTTAACTATAAACCATATTGAGTTATCCTTATTTACCTGTCCTTCGTTATGGTGCTTTAGATAATGATATTCTAAATTTCTTGACGATGCAATACGGCGATCACATATATGGCATTTTTTTTGTTTACTCGGCAAATGTTCCAAGCGATGACTAAACAGCCTAGGCCATGACCAAACCTTTTCATCACACAATTCACAATGTTTATTTGTTTTGTGAGTCTCTAGATGGGTCTTCAAGGTGCTTGCTTCTTCAAACTTTTGCCTGCAGATACCTATAAAAAATTAACGTTTCTATAATCATAAAGCTGCATTAATACAGTTGTATCTTAAACTTTTAGCATTTACATAATATATTTCAAATGATATAAATATAAAATATTTTTTTTTCTATATTTATATCATTAGGTCAGAATATTTAATCACTACATATTATAAATAAAGTCCCCCGCCGCTTCTGTCTGTCTGTCTGTTTGCGAGAAACTCGAAAAGTACTGGACGGATTTTCATGCAGTTTTCAACAATAGATAGAGCAATTCTTGAGGAAGGTTTTATACAATCTGTCGATATTACAACGATATTAGTTAAATGTCAGAAAATATAAAGCCGATTGGAAGCTTTCCTCGAAAACGTTGCCAAAAACTTTAACAAAACATTGTATGGTGAAATTATACCTGTTTAATAGATCTACAAAAAGTCCGCGGTGGTATATGTCTATATTCCAAGGATAACCCACAATTATTTTTTTACGTATACTTAAAACAGTAAAATTATGAGTTATTTACTACCTATTTTAAACAATACAGTATTAATCCTTATTCAAATAATTAAGTTAGATACTTTGTACATGTAATTTAGATCAAAATTGCCGTTAACACTATAGAAAAAAAATGTCCGGACGAGCTATTAATGTCATTAAGTAAAAATGAATCGCCAAAACGGTACGCGCATAACTTCCGAATTCAAGTTCCGACTGCATCAAATTGGATGATTCTATTTTTTATGTGTTCCACGATTAATGACACGGTTTGTATATAAGATTTTTTTTAAAACGGGTATAAGTCGGTACGAAGTTCGCCGGGTCACCAAGTTCTAGAATAAAGAACACTAGAGTATTTGAGAAGAAAAGCATTTTATTATACTACAGTACCAGAATACTTGGTTTTTTTTTTAATTTTTTATTATAGCTAATGCATTATATTTGATCAATTTTGCATTCACAATGCTATTCTGAAAAATATTCTTAATGAAAAATGCTTAAAAAATCTATTTGGTGCCTGACACCCTAAGATGGGATTTGAACCCACAACCTTTTTCATAAAAAATATTTTTCAGTATAGCATTTTGAATGCGATATTGATCAAATATAATTATTTAAACACATTTTCATCTTTATCAAAAATTTTAAATATTTGTAAAAATATTTCTTTTGGCTGTTTGGGTGGATTGCCTCAACATTGATGAGATTAAGCTCTGTAGTAGCGAAAAAGTAACAAGTGCTTGAAAGATGCATCAGTCCTGATAGGTCTTGGTTAGCTGAGTAGTTGGAGCAGCCGCCCAGATTGCGAAGGGTCTAAATCCCATCAAAGGGTGCCAGGGCCCAAGTGGAATTTTCAAGCATTTTTCATTAAGAATAGGTATTGCAATTATTCAAAAAATATACCTACCACAAAGTAAAGCTGTTTCTTCAGGTACTTCAATTATTTTTTTATTATTGTTGCAGAGGGATTTTTTATTGGTAACTTGACCTGCAAGACATACAAAAATATACCTAAATAATATTATCAATAATTATTGATTAGAAAGATAGGCAATTTAATATTAAGCCCTAAATTCTAGGTTCTGGGTGTTATTGAATGTAATCAGTTTCATTGACAAGTTATGCAGCCAGTAATAGAATCTTTAGTTTCGGCTCAAACAATGAACCTGACAATGACGCGCTTTATGGGTTGCTTGTACTACAAATTTATTAATAATATAAATCATACTCTATTCATTTAAGCTCAATAATCTAAGCTCATATTTCTACATACACTTTCAAGTATGACAGACTATGGGAAGTTCATCAGATCAAAGATTACTTCTTACAAAGATGAAAAAAGAAGCTTGTTCAAACTGTCACTAAATGCTGATAACTAAATAATGGTGGCTGATAACTAAATAATAATGCTAGCCCATATCCTGTACAATAGACATGGGCGATTTACATGGTTGGTAGATGTCACTAGTCAGAATATAGGAAAAACATGTTGAAATAGTACTTGAAAAATAAACTGATATGAAAACAAGTTCATTTCAAAACAGGTGACATTTATGAAATAATTAGTTACATTTCATTTCTTAGTTTATCTTAACAAGTCATATCTATCAAATTTATTTTTCAGGATTTCAGAAAAAAATATTACAAAAATGTAATTTTAAAATTGAATAAAAATTGTAGTTTTTGTAGACACAATTTTCAAACTGGTTTGGCTTGGCTTAGCCCATAGAGAAAATTATGTTCTTTTGTAGCTACTTTGCATAATCAATATTGAATATTTTATACCTACTGATCTAATATTATTACTAACCTTCATTTACTTTTGATTTAATATTACAACTCCTTTTTTTTATCCTTCGCTTCTTGATGAGAGTCCTTTTATCTTCTGTAAATATAAGATATACATACATAAATAAATGTAACTTTTTTCATATTAAATTACTAGTATACCCATACCTTCAAATTCCTCATTTTTAATGCAAAACTCATCTACCATTTGCGTATCCGATGTTTCCAGTATGAAATTTTCATCATTATTAAAATATTCACTGTCCTCAGCTGCGTCACTGTCATATTCTGATTTAATCGTATTACAAATATTTAATTCATCATCTACAGCTAGTGTTATACTTTCTTCAAGTTTTATTTTCTAAACGAAAAGTTTTATAGTTAAGACAATGTAATATTCAAATACTTTAATATAGCTATAGATAAACAGCTTAATGTTAATTTACCCTTCCTTGTTCTCTGAGATAATTTTCTGATTCATTACATTTCCTTTTAAATTCTATAAAAAAATTTACTGCTTCAGCACAATTTTGGCAACTATATTGTGGCAGATCATCATGTAATGTAACCTATGGGAGTGAAATATTAATATTACTTAACGAAGATATAATGGAATTAGACGTTACTTTGTTGTCAAAGTTAATTATTTTATGGTATCAATTGTCTCATACAAAAAGAAAAAAAGAAACAGTACAGCACTTTAGAAAGAAAAAAACTTAAACTCACATTTAAATGGGTAAGCAAGTTGTAGTTCGTTACAAAACAATCATCAAACTCCATTAAAGGGTTATCAGTAACTAAGCATAACCTACACATCTCCATGGTGCCGATCCTTTAATAATACATTATACATCAACTATCCAAACTATTCTCGTTTTCACTAAAGAATAATTAGATATGTTAAAAAAAGTCTAAATTAATGTCTTCTACTCAATACATCACAGTTTTGGATACAAACATGAAGGTATTATGGTTTGTCATTTATACATATTTTTATATTTGTTGGGAAAAGTTACATTTTAGACTTCTGCAAAGTTCCGTTATTACCTAAAATTAAATAATTTAAAAACTAAGAGTATTTTCAATTCTCTCCAAATTCTTATTTTTTTATTTATTTATCCAGACTAGGGATGTCAATATTCATCGATGTTTAATAAACATCGATGTTCAGATAGAAAACATCGATGTTTTAATTTCGATAACATTGGCACATCATGTTTTCTAGCCAAACATCGATGTTTATGAATAAAAATATCAATATATCCTTAGGATCATCTAACGTGCTCTAGATGTACTAGCTACATGATCTCGTATATCAAGTTCAACAATTTTTCACTAGATTTCACCGGTTGCACTCGTAACTGGAGTAACCAAACAAATAGTTTTTCTTTACTTGCATTTTCGAAAGAAGTTAAAAATAAATCTGTCGACTTCAGTGCTCTTTGGTACCCTATAATTAACCGATAACGTACTTCAATGACTGCTACGATTTTATAGGTTATTTTGAGAACAAAAATTAATATGTTGCCCTTAAGAAAATTACGATACTAACTGCTTGCTGATTTTGTTTTGCATTGAAGGTATAAAGGTTTAAGAAGATTTTTTTTTCGGTGTTGGGTAACTTCGCATGTATGAGTGATGAGATGACTTATGCTAAACTAACTAATGTTCGTCTCACCAAAGAAGCCCCACGGATCACAATGTTTTTGCTTTTATTATAAAGGAATAAGAGTTATTCGGTGGGACTTCTATCGTGAAGTTCTAACTAAACTCTTTTTTATATCATATTTCAAAATAGGGATAATCGATTTTGGATAATCAACGATATTGAAAGCAAAAACAATCAATGTCTTAACATCGATGTTAACAAATTAATCATCAATGTTAACTCACGGCCACACGCAAGATCAATGCATTATTTTATATTTGGTAATATTAATATCAATTAAAATTAATCGATATTACAAAAAACATCGAAATTTTGATAAAATGAAAACCGAATTTTTGTGTATGTAACATATATACATCTTGAAATACATATTTTACATACATGTTTAGAAAAGTTGGCTTGTTTGACTCTTGATCAATAAAAAGATATATTAAAATTTCTTCCTTATCAAAATTAGCTTTGCTTCAATCAGTTGATATAAAATATGGAATATGTAATGATTTTTTCGGTTTCCTAAGAAATTTCGAAAGATTCACTGTATTTTATTTCTTTAAAAAAACATCGATGTTTTCCAACATCGTTGTTCAGTTTTCGATAAATATCGCATATCGATGTTGGGCTTACGATGATGACACCGATGTCAACATCGATGTTTTTCTAATATCGATCATCCCTAATCCAGACCAGCACGCGTAGCAAGACGAACTCGAGAACGTTTTGTCTACACTCAAATGTCACTTTTCTCGGGTGTGCCCATACTATATCTCACTCTCGACCCGAGAAACTGACAAATGAGTGTAGACAAAGCGTTTATCGAGTTTGTCATGCTACGCGTGCAAGAAAGAAAGACATTCTACTATAGCAATGAGCGATTATTACCAAATTATTACTTAAAAAATCAAATTTGTCGATTGTTCAGTTTAAAGTCGATTACAATTGATATTTTCGATTGTTGTTAACAACTAAACCTTGCGGCGGCAGCGAGCTATGACACGCTGCGGTTACCGTCATTGATTATTCGATTCATTTCTAGCGCAGTGCCATATTACTTTACCCGTGCGTGCTATTAATGGTACGGTGCGGTGCGGCGTGCGCTGCGCTCAACTACAGTTATTACCTATCTGATTGGCGCTAACACGTTATTTAGTTGTTTGTTTAGTAGTCAATCCACTGATTTGAGGACACATCCACTCGATCGTCGCAATGTAGTTGTTACTTATACCACTATCGAGCGACGAATAATGATGAAATATCACACAAACAAACCATGAAATATACCATCGCGACTACATGTTTTTAGTATTCCGTACCGAAAGGGTAAAAATGGGACTGAGTCTTCGCTGTCCGTCTGTCCAACTATCCATACCTCTGTACCATCCAGCCAGTATTTCATGACGGTTCATGAACCGTGATAAAAAGACAGTTGAAATTTTCACAGATGGTGTATTACTATTGCCGCTACAATATAAACATTTAATAGATCTCCCATACAATAAACGTGTTTTTTTTTTGCAGGGTTTTGGTACGGAACCTTTCGTGCGCGAGTTCGACTCGCACTTTGCCAGTTTTTTTTTTCTATTATAATATTTTACCAACTATAATATAAATACCAACTAATTAATAATAAAGTAAGCAAACAATCAACGCAACTCCATAATACTCCGCGCTGTTAACCGACCGCACGTGCATAACACAGAATGACCACATAGTGTGTGTACACTTAGTAGTTAAGACGATTGTTATTCGAATAATCATGACAGGGAACTACCAAATCGACAATTGAATGCGCAGTAATACAATTTTCGATTCAGTCGATCGTTTTTTTTTTGCAACAATCGTCCATCGCTACTCTACGATCATCTATGACTAAACGATTAACACTGCAAAGTAGATATATGCCAAGGCCTTAATGCTTTGGTGTATACCTACTTTAATTTAATTTCACGAGCTAAGGGCGTTTGTGCACTACACTGTATTTTCAGGTCCAGCGTTCTGATATTTTCCCGGAATTTTACTTTTTTCTTATGCGGATCGTTTTTTTCCGGTCTGTGATGGCGGTAATGAAAAACGTATTTACGCTTGTGCACTGTTGTGTCCGCAATCCGGAAAATTCATGAGAAGGTGGAGAATTAATTTTCGATGTAATAATAATCAATTAATTGTAGATTATATTTTATATGATGATTTAATATAGTTGGTAAATATCATTGCATTTGCGGTGGCAAATTCGATATAGTTCCAATTTGATCGTCGTATGGTTCTAGTATCGATACTTTGCTAGATTCTAGAATCGTATTAAAAGTATCGATTACTTAAGGTACGACAAATAAGTGTTGTGACGCTTATACGCCTTAAAAACTGAAACCATCTTAATTAAATTTAATATAGAAAGAAACTTAACCTTAAGAAAGGACATAGGCTACATTTTATCGCGAAAAATAGGTGGAAATAGGGAATGAAAGTTTGCATGGACATTTGACATTATTAAAATTTGTTTACAGACAATTGATAAGATAAGTATAAATAAATATTTAATAACAGAAGTATTCTAACAGAAAAAGAATTCTGGCGAAAGAAACTATACCACGTGTATAAAATAAAGCAATAAAATAAATATCATAACATAATGCAGCCAAGTGATCTTATACTTAAATCATGATATTTAAAACTTACTAAAAAGGATGGCAGGTTTAAATACCACCGTATAGTTCATTTAACATATTAATTCTTTGCTTACACGGCACTAATTTCGCTTTGTTTACGAAAGGGCATCAACGATTGGACTATGTCTGAAATCGCTTGATGTTGTTTTTACAAAACTTTGAAGAAAAATTGCATGATTATAAATTTGAACATCAAGTACGAGAACCTTATCGGTAATTTTATTCGAATTTCACAGATATTTTTAGCTATTGTATGTGAATAATGCTGTTCTTTAATTAGTAAGGGTATGAGTTTTTACATCTGATGGTAGTCATTCGATAGTAGTAAAAAAATGCTTTCATCCTGCCTCAATTTATTATGGTTTATGTAAAAAGCAGCCTGTGCTGAGTTTCTTGCCGGTTCTTCTCAGTACAAAGTCTTCCGCTGTAATATTGCGAGCCGTTGGCATAGATTTTGACTGTCACATATACTAGGTAACAGCCTAGACTGAATTGATTTTTATATTTATCCTATTAATATTATAAATGTGACAGTTTCTTTGTTTGGATGTTTTTCGGTTAATCACGCTGAAACTACTGAACGGATTTTGATGAAATTTGGTATACAGATAGGGTATTAGCTAACTTAGATAAAAGAATACTTTTTATCCCACTTAACATTTCACTAGGGTCCACGCGGACGAAGCCGCTGGCGAAAGCTACTATTAATATAAATCGTACACACACAAACTGTACATAAAAATACAAGCTGGATTCTACACTCCGCTTTTTGTTCATGATTACAAGCCTAAATTCGGATGAATTGAGTCAATTGAAGTAAAGCAACCAATAATTTGGCTCGTCACTAGTGTTGACATATTAACCAAACAACGTCCTTTTAAACGTAACATAATAAATAACTTAAACTTACGATCCAAATATATTAAAATTAATTTAAAAGTTAGATATTATAAAAAAACACGAAACGATGTCATATTTATTAATTTTCGATACTCAATTTACTTTTATTGCATCAAAAACAATATTTGAATGAATATCATAGACACTATCCAAACATCGCTATGTACGTACAAGTATGATTTCAAGAACTAATTTTTATTTTTTATAAATACTTCCTCATTATCGACGTTCCAAAAATCTCATAGTACCTAGCGTAAGTGACGTGTAGCTTAAAAGAGAGCTGCCCTAAACTGGAGGCCTACTCGCTTTCTCGAAAACGAAATTTCGTTTACGAACGAAATTAAAACGAAATTTCGCATGTAACTCTACTCTTTATCATTTTCGTATATACCAACAAATGAAAAGACAATTTATGTGATCGATTGGAGTGAATGGCTTTATTGGATTTTTTATAATGTCAATTCCGGTTTACCGTAACTTGAAATATATAATATTAAACAAAACATATATTTCTTTTAAATAAAATTTTAGTGGCTAAACATTGTTTAAATATAAAATATTACTAACTGACCCGACGAACTTCGTACCGCCATATTTTATTTCTCTAATTGCAACTGAGGAAATAAAACCCTTCCGGTAAAATAAACACTTGCTTAAGAAACAATTAATTAGTACATTTTATTAGTTTACATTCACGACATAAGCGAATAATTAGATGATAATTATCCTATCCAGTAAGTTAGACTAAAATACGGGTACTTGTGAAATTTGATTGAAATCGGTTCAGTAGTTTTGGAGTTTATTGGCAACATACATCGTGACACAAAATTTTTATATATATAAGATAATAATATAACGAAAAACTAAGCATATTAATGAACTTTATTTTTCGATACAACTGATCAAGACACTATAAAGAACTCTTTTATCGACAGTATTAACCGACATATTGTAAAACACCCTTTCATTTACACGATGGCTATAATCAACGTACGGCAATCTTAAATATCCGTATAATACAAACGATTCTCATCCCGCCAAAAGTTTTACAAGTTTAACCAAACTGTTCAGTGTTTACTAATATAAATTTATTTAAGTAACTAATTATTGTGAGTTCCGACATTTTATCTTGACAAGTTAGTAAAAAACTTGTAAGTAAGTATGAAAGTAATATTTAGTTTTTCGGGTTTTTTTGCACGAAAAAGGTTTTTCGTAATAAATTTATTTTTTATCAGTCATATTTTTCAGTTATAATGGCATAGCCTATATGCCTCATAAAATCTGTAATATTAATAACATAATTCTATAGGTATTTATTCACAATTCATACATAAAGCCACAATAAACAATAAACTATTAGGTACTCACTGTCACTTAATAAGATTCCTTTCATTTTGGTTTTAGGGAATAATATATTTTCTTATAATACCTATCTATCTGGTGAATTGAAGGCAGTCCTAACCTCCTAACACCGCGAATCTATTTGTTTGACCATAGGCCCATTCATGTTTTGATATATGGATCCTTGGTAACTACATCGGGCATAAATATTCAACGCTGTAAGATTTAAAAAAATATGAAATGCATAACAGTAGTCATGCAATTTTTTTTATCAAAAACTACGATAAAATATCTACTTTAATTGTGGACTCGATGACATGAGATCTTGCATGTGGACGCAGTAAAGGTATGATCTCCTGGCATAGTTCTTGAGATAATTCACAACTGAGTCTGTAATTATTTACAAACTCAGTGTCGGGAATATTTCTTATATTAAGGCTATTTCGAAGCCGCCGCCGATTTATTCTACGGTCTAATCGTTCTTCACTGAGAGCGGACTCGATTACTTCGTCAATTTGAGGTAAGAATTCCGAACAATTAGATGTCAAATTCAAATGTTCATTTCGTTATTTCGTGAAATAGAGTAGGTTTAGAAAATAAATATGTCAAAATATTTTCGTTCGTTGAATATTCGGAACGTAGGAAATGTCCGAAATTTCGAACGATATTTCGTTTTTCGGTGAATTAGAGTAGGCTTTCTGCACCGCTCCGATCCGGACAAAAACAGACAAGTGCACAAGCTACTTATCAGGGATATTCAAATCATTCCGGACCAGAAAATGCGACTACCGGACATGAAAATTCAGTGTAGTGTACAAGCGCCCTAACACGATTCACACGTGAAATTCCAAAAAGATTGAACGACCACATAAACGAACGAAACGAGACCGCGACAGGCTGCGCAGTTAACTCGTGACCTTGATTAATGGCAGATGTATCATTGCCAATGCTCGGAACACGCTAAGTAGGTAATTATTACGCGCGATCCTATATCCTGTGTTTTACTCAGGCTTACTAAGGTTTAAATACTTTAGAATAGAAGGTACTCTAGGTGATCATGGCTTCCCTAATGAGAAAGTATTTTAAGAAAACAAAGAAAGCACTAAAAAGCAATGCCGACTCTACCAAAAGTTGATTTTTGCAGGAAACGAATGGACCAAAGACAGTCATTTCCGTTCCTTTTATCTTTAAAAAAATGAAATTTGCAAAGTTCGGAATTTGTATTTTTATCAATACAAATACGAAAAAGAATATGAGTTGTTTATTGAGTTTTGATAATTAATTTACCTTTATACATGAAAGAAAACCGGAAGGGTTGTCATGGAGACATCAAGAAAGTACTGTAGCGACATCTAGTTTGACTTAGGAAACATTTTTTTGTAAATACTCCCTATGTCTCCCTCGCCTTCTTGGTCTGTGCATAGAATAATAGTACTCCTAACGGAGGGTTCGTTTCTCGACCTTTTGCCTAAGATCGCTATAGCAAAGAAAAGGCTTTCTATTTATCGAAGTATCAGCGTTTTAAATAGCAGGTTTACTTGTTTTGTGACACACAACATTGTAGATACTGACAAAACCGTCAAGCATAGTGTCTATAATTGTGACTTGCGTGTCTAAGAACGGCAACAGGATAAAAGTAATATGGTAAGATTTTTTATTTATTTAGTAGGTATTTAATATTAACCTAACGATTTTTAATTGCTGGAATTGTTTCCATTTCAGGGGAAACAGCGTAAGACAAGAAAAATTGTTGAAAGGAGATTCGCGAAAATGAAAAAAATGATTAACCCTAGTGATGGCCGCATTAAAGCTTCAGAAAGATCGGAACCGAAGAAGAAAAAGCCAGTGGACCCACATGAGATGAAGATTCGGGAAGTACCACAAGCAAGCTCAGCTTTATTTTTTCAGTACAATACACAATTGGGGCCTCCATATCACATACTCATTGATACAAATTTCATCAATTTTTCTATAAAAAATAAACTAGACATAGTACAGAACATGATGGATTGTCTATATGCAAAATGTATACCTTACATTACAGACTGTGTATTAGGTGAATTAGAAAAATTAGGGAGAAAGTATCGTGTTGCATTAAGAATAATAAAAGACCCACGATTTGAGCGTATTGCATGTCTACATAAAGGTACCTATGCTGATGATTGTATAGTTCAAAGAGTTACACAACACAAATGTTACATAGTTGCAACTAATGACAAAGATTTAAAAAGAAGAATAAGAAAGATACCTGGTGTTCCAATCATGTATGTGGCACAGCATAAATACACTATAGAAAGAATGCCAGATGCATATGGTGCTCCAAAAGGAGCAATTTGATCATTGAATAAAATAAAATTACTTAATCTATGTTTGTATTTATTTTAAATATTATTAGGTTTTAAAAAGTTCCTTATACATATAAAATTATGTTCGTTATGAGTTTCTCATAATTGTTTTATATCACTAATAGAGCAAGTCTAATTTATCCAAATAGTTTACACAATACTATATAGTTGAGTTCAATGCACTTGGAGACCCAACTACATCAATGATTTCTCCCATTGGCTTGGTTTCTCCATCAGTTGCATTACATATTGAAGCTGGTATTGTGAGGGTCTGAAATATGAAAATGAATAGTTAGTGTTGCAACAAATACTACTTTAGATAATTTAAAACAAATATTAAATGGTTACCTTTCCTGGATTGAGAGCTTCATATTGATGTCTCAATGCTTGTAGATCAAATTCACATGCAACTAGTGCATTCTTCAAATCCAAAGCAAGTGCAAGATCAGATCGGAGTTCATTGAAGTGCTTGCATATTGCCTCTGTTGGTGTAGGAGCAATATCTGAAACGGCATCAAAGAATTGACATAAACATTGTTAAAGAACAACAAAGTTTGGATTACAACAAGTAAATAAGACAAATCCCACATACCAATATTCATTTGGCGTAATTCTTGTTCAATAGCTTTAGTTTTCCTTTGCCCAACCCCAGGAGGAAGTTTCATACGTTGCGACCGGAGCCAGACACCTGTACTACGAGCCTCAGGGAATTTGATCCCTGACCACTCTACAGTCTAAAAGAGAATTTTTATATATAATAATACTAGTGGACGCCCGCGACTTCGTCCGCGTGGAAGTCGGTATCCCGTGGGAGTGAGAAGTTTTCCCAGTAAAAAGTACCCTATGTGTTATTCTGATGTATAACCTATATTGCTGTAAAGTTTTATCCAAATCCGTCCAGTAGTTTTTTCGTGAAAGAGTAACAAACATCCATACATCCATACTTACAAACTTTCGCCTTTATAATATTAATAGGATAGCTTGACAGTTTGTGTATTTTAAAATCAATCTTTGCTGATGAATACTTACTACAGCTTCCATTGTACGAACTGGCCTTTGTTGAGTTGACAACTTTTTCTTATGTAGTTTTCTGTCATGACGCCTGGCAATATTGGTTGTTGCATTAGATGGAGTGTGTGTACCTTCAGTGTTGTTAGGAACTGGATTGACAGTTGGTACATTACCACTGTCTGCCCTCGATATAAGCTTTTGTAAATCCTGTGTTTTCCTTTCTCTTTCCCGTTTTCGAGCCTCTATTTTTTTCAATTCCGTAAGTAACATTTGTTCTTCATCAATCTGTATAAATACACATGATTATTTTCACTTTATTTATTTTACATGAATCAAATAGGTTAACAATATGTGGTTCATTTATCGTTTGGGTCTGTCCAAGTGTTCTGGTACTTTTCTTGTTTCAGATTACCTAATACAGGGCTAAAAAGCTCTTTAATTTAGTTATTACTTACTTGTTCCTGTGTTCTATCAAATAACCTCCTTAATTGTTCTTTCCTCTTTCTTTCATGTTCAGCATCATAATGGTAGATACGTTTTTCTCCATTAACTGTGGTTACAGTGTTTGACCATGGGTTAGTTTTCACCTATAAGAAAGAAATAATTTTATAACAAATATATTTTTTACTATAAAATTAATAAAAACAGCAGTTTACCTTGCTCAAACTGGCACATATACCATAATACCGCTCTTTCAAATCCTCAATACTTCTATCTCTGAATGCTGCACGATCCCACCTGTCATGTATAACAATGAACCTCAGATCAAAACGTTGACACATATCCATAAGGTGATCAGTTTCTGCTTGACTCCAATCTTCAGATTTCAGGTATTGGTTGTATTCAGATTCAGTGTAAGATGGTATTGAGACTTGCTGAAAATATAATTAATATTATTAATAATTAAGGACAGAATACAGCTCAATTTGCATTGTAATAATTAAATTTTATTACAATGCATGATTTACCTGTTTTAGGCCAATTTAGACTATCCAGCATATTACAAATAACTCTTTTAACGATTCTTAATCACTACTTTTTTTAAATTTATTTGTTATCAAAATACATATTTCTGCATGCAAAAAGTATATACATCATCAAGCGCACACAAAAGCCTTTTCGGGTTTGTTTTACTCAAGGGAAATTGACACCATAAAATAACATTCAATAATATATTACAATATGTGATAATACTCATTAAATTACATATAAAATAAAAACATACATATATCATACACACACACAATATCACCATCACCAATGTAACAATCAAGAGGCTAGTTGACTACATTATTATTTATTTTATTAATAAATAGTTCATAAATTTCTGAGAAAATACTGGAGAAGCAATGTCTGCCTTTAATAGTTTTGAAGATATGGTGCTCTCTTTGTGGAGCTGCTGCTAATTGGCCGAAAAATGTTCCATACAATCCTTTAAAGAAATTGTAATGGGATCAACACTATTTAATTAATAAAGCATATTAAATATTCCTCCTAATAAGACTGTTCAAGGAATGTATATAATTTATTCATAATAAGCAATTTACAGTAAGATAATATGTGATTCTTACTATGACATAATCTGCATGATAATCTATCTATTATTTAACCTGCTACTTTGTATATAAACATTATGTTTGAAGTAAAACTATTACCTTATTAAATTGTGCGAAAGGGTATTCCTTTGTTTCATCAGATGCTCTTTTCCAGTGATAAAAAACGGCATTATCCTTACGAGCTGGATTACTGAATGGAGCCCAGACCCATTTTCGGGCTTTCCGCATTCCCAATTTAGCCTTTGTTTGTTTATAAGCTTTACCTACCAAGAGATTGTTTTATTGTTACTTTATTTAACATGTTTTAACTTATTGATCGGTAAGCTTTGAATTATACATTATGTTACCTGTGTCTGTAGGCAGGAGTGGTGGTAAATCTTTATTGGAATCATTGTAAAGTAATGCAAAGACTTCTCTATGCATGCCCTCTGGTCTTTTCACAGCTTTGGCAGTGACATACTTTTTCTTTATTTTATCGCCATGTATAATGCTATCTCTGCTGATTTCAGTAGCACCAGGATGTTCAATATCTAATATATCTAGAATATCAGCCATGTTTCAAGTTGTAACACTATTATCGAATTGAAGATACAATATAATTGATCAGTCTCTAGAATTCTAATAATATCAAGTTTTATTTATAACTAAAATTCATGACTGAAGCACTTTGTTTATTTGAAACGATTCTGTCATGGGTTTAGGGAAGATAGATAATAATAATAAAAATGTAAGTAGGTAGTAGTTTGGGTAGTAGTTTATTTCGTCCATTAGCATAGGCGAAGGAACTTAGCCATACTGCCTAATCTTGAGTAGGTTTTTTATGAGGCAATGCAATCTTCTATCTTGTCTTCTTTTTTATTCCTTATTTTTTTTTGAGAATCTTGATTTAAATTTCTGTGTTATTATTTACATATTCGGGATGATTCTCCAAGATTTCTCCAAGAGTGGAACTAATGTAGTCATAAATCGGTACAAAGTTTTCTGGGCAAACTAAGATATCCTAAAGGGAAGGCGGGATATTCATAAATATTTTCAGGAGGTGATGTATCAAAATGAGTCGCTGGATATTGTAAGTTGGGCAAGAAAAGAAAGATATGTTCAAGTGTCTTTACTCTCAGAAGCAGCAGTGCAGAACATTTTATTATGATCATCAGATAATTTTTGAATAACTTCTTTGATTTCAAACAATAGATAGCATTCAGTAAGCTAAAATTATCAAGTACTTTAGAAACGGACATACTGTCAGAAACTATTAAAAACTTACTTTTGTTGGAGCACATGTTAGCATTTATTATACTGGGAGGAACAAAATGACCGACACAGCCGAAAGTTTCAAGTTAGGTTACATGCAAACATTAATTTTATTTGACTAATATTTAAAAATAGAGGAGGTGTAAAAATGGAGTAAACATTTTAAATTTCTAAGTGATAACAACCCTATAACGCGCATGCGCAATATCGATTGTGTGCAGATTACAACGAACCGCGAAATACATTAATTTAATTTAATAATTTACCGATATCTCAATGATAGTCGATGCTGAAAATGTCCACTTCCTCTCTGAAGACTGAGCTAAGCACGCTCTTTTCAATGCCGGTGCATGCACGCGCAAAACACATCACATTTCACACAAAACTAAACACAATCTTCACTAAATTAAACTTAACACTCAAGACGAACACTCTATAGTCTATTCAACTTCCTCTGAGACAAAATGTAAACAAACAAACCAATGTTTCTCAAACTTTTTTATTGATGTTGGTATGTAAATAAAATTTGTTAATGGGACAAATTATTGTATGGTAGGTATGCAATACAATAAGTCTATTTCTTTTTCAAATAGCAATTGTAAGAGTCACATAATTTTATTCAGAATCTTCCTCGTCTTCCTCTGAGGAACTAGTCGCACCAACTTCTATCACAAAACGGTCAACCAAATCATCTATGATACCATTAATTTTTAAAAAAAATTGTTCCTGTTTTATGACATGGGCAATGCATTTTAGCACAGTTCCTACTGTTACCCTTTTTAGAGCATCGATTAAAAAAGATTTTATTTCATTTAACTTAAAACTTAGCAATAACAGAAAACAACAGACTTAACAACTAGAATAAACAAATAACAAGAATTTAACGAAAGCATTTTGCACGAGTCAACGAGTTGATCGAGAGTAAAAATGGCCGGTACAACCCGACTAATTATAAAATTTCACGTTTCTACGTAAAGTATTTGTCTTATCACTACTCCTTAATTTAGTATTATTATAATACGTCCAATGTTTGGGAACAGCTTCAATTTTAGGTGTTTTTAATGTCACTTTCTTTTTTCATTAATTCTAAATGCATTTATATTTTGACATATTAAAAAACCTTTTTCCAGTTTGTTTACATTTTGTCTCAGAGGAAGATGAATAGACTATAGTATCGTATTAACAAAAATTCAATTAAAAATGCACTAGAACAAAACAAAAATCAACAAAAAAGACGCTTCGCAGCGGTGCGTCGGCGGTGATGCGCAACAACACTCCAGCGCAAAAGGTCGACGGCGACTGATCGGCCGGAAAATATCGACAGAATAATGAAGCCGCCTGCTGGGGCTTTGATATCGAGGGACGAACTCGGTTCACATTATTTTGACGTCTTTTGATATCAGTATCACGCATTTTTAATGTTCTTTTTAAATGCTATTTGAATAACAAATTCCTCAATAATTTTAAAACAAAGTTCATTTGTTTTAATGGTGAATCGCTGGAAGTTTTGCGAGTTTATCGAGTTTAATTAACGATCCCGTTGTTAAATGGAGAATGGAGTATTACCATTCAAACATTTTTTTTGGAGAATTGATCTTTTAAAAAAAACGTAGGTTAATGTTAGGCTGATCTCTCTACAATAATTTAGGAAATTTTACACTCGCTTTCTTAATTGAGAATTTAAAGTTAAACGTCTCAAACTAACATCACTTAGTTTTCGTTTCCGATTTTAGTTTTTTGATGATCAGTTGATAGCAGTTTGATAAAACTAGGACTATTTAACTTGTGAAATTAAAAAAACTTAGGTTATTGAGAATAAGCAGTAGAAATTTCCTACTTTTTTTTCAAATCAGAAACTGGCTGTTAGTTTGTAAATCGATTTAAGCATTTTGACTGCCTTGTTTATTGATTGTCTGGTAGAATTTGCATGAAAGAAGTCTTATAAATAACAAACTAGTTTATTTCGTTTTTAGAAATGAAGAAGTCAATGACCGATTTAAAACTTTTCCTTAGTACGTCCCAAAAACAGCTGACTCAGGGTTGAAAACACTCATTTTTTTCAAAAACTTTGTAATTTAATATCTCCGGAACTATTTGACCTAGACTTATATTTTTTTTACATCATATTAAAGACAAATAGTACTCTCCAGGAACCTCGGGAGTGTCGGTAGTTCTGTTCCACCGAGTATAACTAGCTTTCGCCTACGTGGTTTATAAGCAAATTATTGGTGAACCCCAATTCTGGGCCACCAACGTTTCAAATATATTTAAAGTGGATACTATGCATATGCAAACACGTTAAATAAAGATTTTATGAATTTTATTTATAGTTTGCAAGAACATCAAAATAGAAGTCAAGTAAAAAAAACAATAGGCATGGACAGCTAATCACAAAAATAAACATTGTGTCAAATAAATCAGAAGAGTAAAATTGTTCTAAAATAGTATTTTATACATGAGTAAAAACTCCTTTCTCTAACAGAAATGTTAAGTGAGATAAAAATTATTTTAATCATTCTGTAGGTATACCCAGACTAAAGTAAATCTGACTTACCTAACTTTCAACCCTCAACTTATATGAAATTTAATAAAAGAGTTTTACGATTTATCATTTATTTCAATAAAAAATAAAATACAACACAAATCAAATAACATAACAGTACACAACAGCTTTGTCACTAGGTTCTGTTACTTTATATCAATTCTTTTGACCAAGAATTAATACAAAGTAACCATCTGGCTGACTCATCACTTAACCTATTTCTATGTTTTCTAATTACTAATGATGCTTTAGAAAATAATCTCTCAGCAGGTATTGAAGTTGCAGGTATTGAGAGAAAATCACGGGCCATCTTCGATAAAGTCGGATACTCTGTCTCATGCGTCCTCCACCAATCTTAAATGTCTTCCGAGCTGGCAGCTCTTGGTTTTCTTAGGTACTCCTCCAACTCGTCTATCACTAAGCCTTGAAGACAAGATCCAGATGACGTCGAGGGACATTCATACAGTTTATCAAAGTCTATTACGTCTTCATCTTCATCACATACCTTATTTTCTTTTCTTGGTAATTCCAGAGATTTGTTCAGTGAGTGTAGACTGTAGTATTCTTCATAAAGTTCATTGAACTTGCGCAGGCTTTCTGTTTTAAGTTGCTTCCCCCATATTGTCAGGTCAAAAGTCTGAGCCTTATGCCTTGGGTCTAAAATTAAAGAAGTACAATAAATCCAGTTGCTCTTCTTATAATGTTTAAGCATTTTGTCTCGAGCTGCTTGGAAAGCCAGAATGAGCCTTTCATCCACTTCAGATCGATTAGGTTTCTCATTTAACTGTTTTACCATGGATTTAATTTTATCGAGCAAGAGATTGAATGATTCAATGACTAGCGGTAATGTAACATATTTTTCTCCACCAAGTTTTGTACTTAAAAGTTTAAAGTTTATTAGAAACTTATGTATTTTTTCGAGTATTTGCCATTCACTAGCTGTGATTTGAAAATCATTCAATTCGGTGACAGAACTGCACAATATGTTAATGCCCGCACTCACTTTTAAACCAAATCCAATCATATCATGTGTGGAATTCCATCTCGTTGGACAGTCAAGAATGGGATTCAGATTTGATGGCACGCCAGCTGCTTCACAAGCAGACTGAAACTTCTTCTTCACTATTTCACTTCTTTTTATTTCACTGGAAATACTGCGTAACTTTGTTACAGATGTACGCGAGTCAGCAGTATTTGGTATGTTTTAAGTGAATGTTTTGTCGTACATCTATTCTAATATTATAAAGCTGAAGCGTTTGTTTATATGTTTGATGACAGAAGTTTTAAAATAAATAAATAAATCCTGAAAGTCACTATACCTCCAAAGTTACTATTCCTCGTGGACGAAGTCGCGGGCACTGCTAGTAAATACTTACTCTCATCATCTCCCTCAGAGATATTCGGGCTCAAGCAATACAAAAATCCTATCGCAGGCTTTTTATTTTAAAAGTAGGTAGGTACGCTTTTTATATTATTTTATTAGTTTTGTAGATTTTTTTTACATGTTTCAAGTATGTTTAAAAGTGGCTACAATAGTTATCGAACGGATGATATTTGACCACTTATTTGCTATTTTTTCTTGTAAAAAATTAAGAAATTTGAGAAATATTTTGACTAAATGTACAATAATAGAACCTAAGTAATTAGTTTAAACCCATATAATTAATATTATAATATAAACTTACTAGAATAAATTATTATGACATCTACTACCTATTCTTACCATTATCTAATCATAATACTACTTGCGTATAGTAGTATAATGTATTCGTTTCCATTCTAAGCACACTGAAACTTATTTATTCTTTGGAACACCTGTGCTCTTAAAACTATACCTAGGCCGTGTGGCGGCAATCAATTAGTGTCAAATGTTGTGATTTCGGCGCGGCGGCACCAATTGTTGTATGTGATTTCAAAAGAAGCCACCGCCGCGTGTATCATCACCATGTACTTCCGAAAAGCGGCAAATTTCTTTGAGAAGTCAGTACAAAACCTTTGATGCCGCATTATCAAAGTGCCGATGGTTAAAACAAAACTATGCATGCACTCTGTTTGATTTTAATGAATATATTTTTATTCGCTATGTATGCTTATGGTAGGTATTGGTCGTAATGCGCATAGGTCCAGTTTTTCATATTCTTTGATACAGTTTTTTGCGTCTCATAGAATTCCTAAGCGTACCTATACACCGAACTGCTATTCCTAACTACTCAGTGAAATAGCGCTAAGTCCTAGCTGCAAGACGCAAGTCTTGCGGGATTAGTCTTGTTCTTGCTCAAGTCTTGCATGGTCAGTCTTGGTCTTGGTCTTGCTAAAAATACGCGGTCTTGTTCTTGGTCTTGGTCTTGCATTTTTGCAAGACCAAGACCAAGAACAAGACCGCGTAAGACTGCAAGACCAAGACTCAATTTGGGCAACACTAGTTTTCGGCTAACTTCTTTATTGATACCAATATATCATGCACCTTTTGTACTAGTGGCAAATGTTCTTTTTGGTGTCCATTGCTCGTCGATTTTTTAGGGTCTTCTGGTACGACATCTTTCCAAGGACATGCCACCCGACATGGGCTGGAGTCCACAGAAGCTTTACTATTTTATGGTTATCAGATAATTTTTGAATAACTTCTTTGATTTCAAACAATAGATAGTTAGCATTCTGTAAGCTAAAATTATCAAGTACTTTAGAAACGGACAACCTGTCAGAAACTATTAAAAACTTACTTTTGTTGGAGCTCATGTTAGCATTTATAATATAACTAGCTTTCGCCAGCGGCTTCGCCTACGTGGTTTCTAAGGAAATGTTTAGTTTTAACATTTCATGTTTGTCAGTCAATCACGCTGTAACTACTGAACAGATTTAGATAATAATAAATCATACAACGTCGATTATGACTATCTTATAATATTGATCTATATACGATGTTGTATGATCTATTATTTGCAGCAAGTACATACAGGTTCCTTGCACTTGACACTCGAGAACATGCCACATAGAGCTGGCCATGGGAAAAGCAGGTAATACCCAAATGTATGCCCGCCACTTTTAGGGTTTGTCCTTGGGACTTATTGATGGTCATGGCAAATGCCAATTTCAATGGGAACTGCAGCCTTTTGAACTGGAATGGCAAATTGTGGGGTATAATGGCTCTGCGGGGAATCAACACGCTCTCGCCCTTAGCTGCCTCCCTAAGTATTGTTGCTCGCACAATGTTTCTTCCCAGTTCGCTGATATGTAAGCTTGTGCCGTTGCACAATCGCGGGGCATCAAGATTACGCATCAACAAAACTGGGACGCCAACCTTCAGCTCCAGCTTGTGGGGCGGTACGCCCGTCAATTCTAATGAGTTAAGAAATTCCACGGGATAAGCAGTGCTGTCATCGCTTGCCATCACCGTGTCTATGGACGTGTACACCCTCGATGCGCCATCTGCTACATCTAATACCTTTGTAAATGATACGACCGCTTGTCTTTAGTACACTGACATTTAATTATTTAATTTTATAATCTATTTCAATACATACAAATATATAGTAATCCAAAAAGTTTAGTTATATAAAATCAAAGATTGCTACTTTTAATATATGCAAATAAATAAATAACGTATGCGCTTTGACATATGCAGATGACTTTGTGTTGTTCAAAACCGTAAGGAATCTAATAAACCTAGGGAATTATTTACAAATATCACTAAATATATAATTTAAGTTACTCTTACAATAACAGCTAGAGATATCGGAATCAAATAGCAGTGTATTTTTAAAGAGGCTTCAAGCGAGAAACTTAAAATTAACGATATTGTATTCCCGGTCATGGACAACGTAAAGTACTTAGGGCTATGGCTATAGCGATCGGTCCTTGAGGTGGACAAAACCATAAATGAAATAAAGGTCAAGATTTTGAAATTTGTAAATATATTAAAAGTGCTGGCCGGCAGTAAATGGGGCGTTCACCCTATTCACATGAGACGCTTGTATATTAGTTTAATTAGTAGTAGGTTGGATTACGCTTCTATATTTTACAATAATGCGGCACAGACTCATCTAGTAAATTGGATAAAATACAAAATATTTTAATGTGATTTATCGGAGGATTCATTAAAAGCACAGCTATTCATATAATGGAAAATTAACTATATGTCCCACCACTACATATTCGCAGACAGTATCTACCAAGAAAATTTTGGCTTCTATTAAAATCATTTGGCAAAAATGAAACAATCACCCTCTTAAAACAAGGAGGAAGTATTTAAAAAAAAACCTCCCTGGATGGCGACTCTAGCAAAAGTTGATTTTTGCAGGAAACGAATGGACTAAAGACAGTCATTTCCGTTCCTTTTAACATACATATTAAAAGACTGAAATTTAAAAGGTTCAGAAGTTAGATATCAATACAAATACGAAAAAGTGCAAATAAAATATCAGTTGTTTATTGAGTTTTGAAAACGAATTTACTTTTAAACATGAAAGAAAACCGGAAGGGTTGTCATGGTAAAATCATGAACGTACCGTAGTGACATCTAGTTTGATTTCGGGAACTAATGTTTTTTTTTAATACTTCCTCATTAAATAAACATACATACTGAAGGAGAAGGAAAAAAAAACAATTATTACTTGTAACCCATGAGTAACTTCAAAACACTTCGGTCAAAAATCAATTACAAATGTTTACACTAGATACATGGAATACTAATGTAGATATTTTCAAAATTATTAAACCGAACATAGAAGTTATCTCAGAAAAAAGAAAATATGAACCTACCAATTATATACGTGTAAAATTTTAACATAAGGAATATAATCGTTTTTATAAAGTTTTTACCGATGTCTCAAATGATGGCTCTAATATTGGATTTGCTTTATTTGACCCACAGACAAATAACTTTATTAAAATCAACATCAAATCTAATTTTAACATAATATACAATATTGCCAATTAATTATTTTAATATCTAACAGGTTTTTGGTATTCTCTAACAGTTCCTTCAAATAAGTAACTAATGGTTTTCTGTTACTCGATATATGTACTCGGTGGAACAGAACGACCGACACTCTCGAGGTTCCTGGAGAGTACTATTTGTCTTTAAAATGATGTAAAAAAATATATATGTCTAGGTCAAATAGTTTCGGAGATATTCAATTACAAAGTTTTTGGAAAAAAATGAGTGTTTTCAACCCTGAGTGTTTTTGGGACATACTAAGGAACAAGTTTTAAATCGGTCATTGACTTCTTCATTTCTAAAAACGAAATAAACTAGTTTATGATTTATGAGACCGCTTTCATGCAAATTCTACCAGACAATCACTACTCAAGGGTCAAGGCAGTCAAAATGCTTAAATCGATTAACAGATTAACAGCCGGTTTCTGATCAATGAAAAAAACGCACAAAATTCGTCGAGACACAACAAATTCACTCATTTTGCAGTATAGTGTGAACATCAAAGCACAATAAAATTTTATTAATGACAATGTTACATTTATCAATAATACGTTTAGGTACCTTAATTATTTACAATATCTAACCGCTATCTATGAATACTGATACCATATATATTAACTACTTTAACCTAATCTTTAACACTATTTCCTCGTTAGTTCTCAACTATCAAGTACATTATACTGCATGGGAAATTTTAATTTACACAGCGATAAGAAATATCTATCACTTCAGACCATAACATAAAAATTAAAAATAATGCTTTGGTAAACTTTTTCACCCAATCTAAAACAATATTTAAGTGAATTTGTAGTCTTATTTAGTCATATATTATTAAAAAAATACGAAATACCGGTAAAATGCAAAGAAGATGAATACTAAAATTATTTTTATTTTTATTTATTTGGCTCTATGAAACATTTTATCATCACATGCTAAAGGGGGCAAATTCGGGCAAAAAAAAATTGATACGTTTTATACATAATATGCTTTATATGATTTGAAGTTAAACGACGGAACAGGTAGACATTACTAACTGTCAAAACACTATTCAAAGTTTCAAGTGAAGTAAAAATGCGGTTACCCAAAATTTAATTGTAGGTCTTTCCAGTTTTTTTATCATGAAACATTTGCATTTTTTAAAATAAAACATTTAATAACCTTTCTGACCATATATAACATTTAAAAAATAAATAAAATTTATATCATTATTTGAACTTGTGTAATTTTATTTTACATAATCAAAGTCTAAATAGAAAATTTAATTATTTTTTCTATTTAGATTTTTTTGTAGAGGATGTATTAGTCATTATTTTTGAGACGGTACGCACGGTTCTGGCCCATAGTGCGGCGTGTAGTTGTAAAAATAATGTAATTTTCTCTGATTCAAAAAGTGCATTACATTACAACACTTAATGATGTGAACCAAAAAAGAGAGATGTATCAATTGCATATACTATTTTGCGTTCTATTAGAGAGCTCACAAAGACAATTTCACAATATGTCAAATTTCCTCATTTGATTTTGAGCGCTACCAATAATGGAGAAATTTAATAGTTATGTAGCTTGACGTGATGTTGGCTAATACTAAGTACAATAATGTGCTTGGATTATAATTTTTTTCTTTCTAAATTATTTTCGACGAAACAGATAAGTATCTAATAAAAAGAGAGATATTATGATGTTTAATTATTTAATTTTTATTAACTATCCATGATCCTCTGTATGGCTCTTCTCATTGCTACGGGATTATCCAAAGGTGCCTGCAACAAATAAATTTTTAATAACGAAGCAAGCAACATTGGAGTGCGATTTATTTTAATTTCCTACTAATGAACAATGAATAACAAATATGTAGACAAAATAAAAGGAATTCCTATGCAGCCAGGATTCGGGTAATATAATTTCTAATTCCATTACTTTTATTAATTAGGTTGGTATTGATGAAGTTTTAGCAATATACTTTACAAAAAAAATCAGCTGCTTTAAATATACATTTACTGATTTAAAAACTAGCTTCGCGCCCACGGTTTTCATAGGATACGATATCTTAGCGATGTTGTGTCTATATTTCCTTTTATATTACGATGAATGAATGATAAAGAATGAAGGTCATGGATTTGACAGCAGCGTCACTAAATTAGTAATTTATCCCAAATTTATCAACCAAAAGACACGTAGAAGAAATAACATGTAACGAAATACCGATTATATATAGCTATCAAGCTATGACTAGCAGTATTATAGGACATCAGATGTTTTTTCAATTCAAACCGGCAGTTCCTGAGATTAGCGGATTTAAACAAACAAACTCTTGAGCTCATAATATTAGCATTAATATTCTTGTCAATAGGAGAATAGATGCAATCTTACTTTAATGCACTTCTACAACTTCGCCAACAACAAAATGTTATTTAGATAAAATTACCGATAAACCAGCTACGTTGATCCAGTAGAAGGTGAATTTATCCGTTTCCCTGAAGTAGCCTTCAATCTGATTGTTTATAATGAGTGTTTGTCTTGAACTGTTCAAGAACTGCTCTTGACCGTCCCACTGAAGACTGTTGATCCATTGCAGTTGACCTTTAAAATAAAAAATAAATATGTAGATTAATTATGCTCACCTCCCGATGTTCCCATCTGTTTATGAAGTCCTCAAACGATATGCAGTGGGGTCAATGTAAAAATTATTTTTCTAGATGGTAGATTTTTTGGTACTGTTGTTATAGATTTCCTTAATCCAAGTTAGTTTTGGATCTGAACATTTGTGTTGCCTAATTTTTTTTTTTCTTGCGATCATTTGTATGTATGTATCATCTGCAAACTTCTGCAGATGAGACAAATGGCACATACATACTGTTGAATGAAATGTAATGGGTGTGTGTATTTTGGCATAAAAATGAAATAAATAATTTATCTATCTATCTGTTTAAAACTAGAAAACATAATTTTAACGCTTAAAATTTTCCGGGCATTAATTATACTTTAGAATTATTTTTTTACAGTATTGGTACCATGTATCTTATTTTTACCGAGTTGCCGATATTTTGGCGTTGTTGCCAGCGCCATGATCACAGAACAGTGTCGTTATATCGAGAAATCTCGTAAAAGAATATCATTTTAATATAATCAGCATATAGATTTTGATGCAGTAAATTCAAACACAGCTTTTGAAGGAATTTTATGTGATGGTAGGTGCGTATTTTTCTTCTGTGGACAATAACATCATAATCTATCAAATACAGACCAAAAACCAGGTCTTCTTTTAGTTCCTCTATTGTTATAGGTGAGCCATAGGGTGATCCTTATGGAATATATGGATATATTAGGTCCTTTACTCTTTATGAGCAAGGAGAATTCAACCCATGTCTGTATCATGGAGGTACAATATTAGGGTATATGGAACTTGCATTTGCTGAAAGATTACTGCTAGAGTTTGAAAAGTATTTTTCTAATCATGGACACACGCATCATATCAAAAACTTTAGCAGATACATAAAAATGGGCCGTTTCTAGAATCAGGGCATCAAATATCCAGGAAAAGAAAGAAAAGCTGTTTATCCACCTGGAAAACATTTATTGTTATTAAGTCAGTAGTGAAATATTTTATATACGCTCACCTGGAGTATTGGACACTGCATCTAAATTTCCGTTGTAAATTGTCACACTGATATTGGTATTATCAAGCACCTCCTCCACTGGAAAATATAATATATTTTGCCATAGTATCTATATTTTAAGGCTATGTATAATAATTTTCTTATTGTATTTATTGAGTATCCTAAGAGAGATTAGTACGGTACGTTTAAACAAGTATAATTATTGTTAAAATGTTTAATCAATTTTCTAATTGCTTTTTATTATATTGGTAAGACCTTAATTACCTTTGATTTTATGAAGAAAAATTTATGAAGTAATTTAGTTACAGTACAGTAATAATCAAATAAAGCTATATTACCTTTGTTTGTCGCTGGCTTCATGAAATTTTCTTTGAAACTTTGAATTATAGCTTCTCTTTGTCTATCAAAATTTGGGTTAGAAATACCCAAAGCAGGAGCCACAACTTCATCCATGAATTGTCCTAATTTTATATTAAGATTAGTTACTTCTTTTAGAGCTTTGGTTTGGCCAAAATCGAAATCTGAAATTAGTATAAATTTAATACTCATAAAATCCTTCAATTTATTATAATCAGTTTTGTAAGTCGAAAAAAAATGCAATATTTTATTATAAAAGTCAAAAATAATACCATTTGATTCCCGTGTAACCTTTTCCACTATATATTCTAAATTAACAGCGACAGCACCGGCATTCTCATTTATAAATTTGTCTAATGTCAGGAAATGGTCGTAAGCTGACTCTAGTTTTCCTTGATCAACCAATTCATTAATTTCATTTGATAAACTTTCTATAGCTGCGCGTCCACTAAAATCAACGTAAGCCAATTCTTCCAAATAAAAACCTAATTTAGTAATAACCAAAGCTGGCGAAATGATTGCATTGCCTAAAACGATTCCCTTTAAATTTGGTGAAAAGCTTTCCATCTACAAATAAAAAAAAATATATATAAGTGGCATTTATATTTAGAAGGTAAGTTTGAAATTAGTGCACAAACTTTTCCTATTACGGTTGAATATCGTTAGGTATTTATATTATAGATATAATAGATTAACGACATTATTTTATAAAGTCGTATTGAAATAATAATGTAATTATTAAACATCTATTAAATTTTCATATATTTTAAGTAGTAGTGAACAAGCAGTACGTTGTTAAAATTGATAATTCATCTCCTGGTATAACAATATATCACCCACGTTAGGTTATAGAAAAAAGAGAAAAATACATGATTTTGATTAATTTGACAAACATGATATTTGCACTGATAACTATTATTCTTTTCATTTACATAAAATATGGGTACTATTACATACTAGTTAACTGTTAATATACACTATAGTAGTAAGTAACTTTCACTTACGTTATTAAGTTCTAAAGCAAGCATAACCGCCATTTGCCCACCATAGCCTTGACCAAAAATATAAAGTGGTGTTTCATAAAATTCGCTATTTTGTTCATAAAATGATTTTAGAGTCAAGATCGTATGATTTGCTGAAAGTATGATTGAAATTAATTTAACAAGAAACAAGCTTGGTCTGTTATTAAAATTGTCAAATTGAAATATTGTGTACTTACTGTTGGTCTCCAGATTTTGCGGTATTTCACCATTATCTGCGACTGTACTAAAGCCAGACCCTAAAGGTCCGTCCATAAACAGTAAATTATATTGATCAATCTAAATAAACAGTAATGCAAAAATCAGAGTTTTATTTGTCATATTATCTGAGAAATATACTTAGTCATTTTCATGATTAAAGATTTCCTAAAATGTCCTCTTATAATCAGCTACATACCCAAGAGTTGTTTCTTCGATTTAAATTTAAGTCGAAAGGTCCAAACATTCCAAAATTTGCCAGCAGACTGGGAGGAAGGCCAGTGACGCCATCCAACCAGAGTACAATAGGCCTTTGGGTAGGAATCTCAGCTAATGTAGGGTAAAACCACCAGAATACATCACCGCCTTCAGGAATTCTGGTGAAGGCTGCCATGTAATTGACATTTCCGAAACCCTCTCCGTCTAGTACTGTAAGGATAATTATATTATCGCGTTAGTGTATATATTCTTTGACAGTAATCAGCTGTTACAGTCAACCCTTCTTATTTTAAGCAATAATTCCCTTTCATATAAAACACTACACTCACTTATTGTTTCATAACGGCCATCATTATCTGTAATAACATCATTATTTGTAACTAGCCACCAGATCAAGACTCCAAGTCCTGCTGCTACTACAACAGCAGTAACTACTGAAATGATAATTATTACAGATTTTTTCATTGTGTACAAATTTACAAATATGTACAGTTAACAAAGGCACATATGAACATCTTCTGATATCTACATTAAACACATATAAACCTTCTCGTAATCATTGTTTATCTCAGAGATATAAAATTATTGATAAAAGGATTATTTTGCCAATACTTAATAATCATGTTACTGAAATTATAACTAAAGCGTTAGTTACACATGGCCGGTGCCACGTGGCGTCGGGTAGATTTCATACATTTGTCCACTTGCGGGGCTAGTATAACCACTCTGTAAAAATATGTTAAAGTTATCTGCGCTTGTATATATAAACGCAGTTGAATTTGGTCGGTCTACTTTTCACCTTTTTGTTATTTTAGAGGTCTATTCTAGAAATGTCCCAGGATTTTTTTTAAAAATGGTACTTATTATTATATTTGATCAATTTTAGATTCACAACTCGATGTAGCTCGATGGCGTAGTGGATAAGCGCCGCGGCCCGCGATCGTAGTCGTTAAGCAACTTTCGCAAGGGTCGGTCGGACGGGATGGGTGACCAAAAAATTATTATCTCGAGTTACTCCGTGCTTCGGAAGGCATGTTAGGCCGTTGGTCCCGGCTGCATTTGCAGTCGTTAATACCTTCCAATCCGCATTGGGCCAGCGTGGAGGGTCATGGCCCATCCTCCTTAACTAAGTTAAGGTTAAGGAGGATTGCAGGGGCCCTTTTACGGCCCCATTGCAGGGGCTCACCCCTGCAATGGGGCCGTAAAAGGGCTGGTGATGATGATGATGAGATTCACAATGCTATACTGATACATCTCAGAGTGCCAGGGCAAAGTGGATTTTATAAGCATTTTTCATTGAAATAGTACTAAATTTTCTTTTGAGTATAACCGGACAGGTGGAATAACAGATGTAACGTAAGTTTATGTAAGAGATCCATAAATTGAAATATTAGGAATAAATTGAAGTATTGTATATATTCTAGCTTAAGCATAGGAAAAATTAATCTCATATTAAATCAAAGTTCTGATCAATGAGATACACAGTGTAGTGAATTGCGTATGTGGGGCAAATCGATTATGAATTAATTATTTGGCTCGCGTGTACATGTTTAATCTATATAGATCATCTTATATGGATCAAATGATCTATCCCAATATTATAAAGTGTCTCTTTCACCTGCGGCAAGCTAAATCAAAGCGGGTGCGGGGTGACAGAGGCTATATTTTAAGCAGCGTAAAACCAGCTATTAAATATATAAAATCTAGTATATCGTAGACTATTTTTATCAAAAGATACTCATACTATATTACGCTCATTGGCTCTAAAACTAATCGTGTTAATAGTCATTTATCTATGATGTAGTTTATTGACATTATCAGGTAATTATATTGATGTATTAGGTCGCGTACAATGGCAATAAAGGTTTCATTTCATTAAAACTTTATGCTGTGACAGTGCTGTGTTCAACGATGACTTCGAAACTGCTTTTATTCAAAATAGCAAATATACTGAGATCCAATTGTAGACATTTACCTAGCATATGGACAATATGGAAGAGTAGTCGCATAACGCATACATTTACTTGCGTTTTAATAAAGAAATTAAAATTTTAAGCTCAAATTTTTATGCTTTAAGTTTTTTGTTTTATATTAGTCAAAATCCGGGGGATCAATGTGGTTATATCTCACATATCTAATAATATTTATAAGAAAAATGATTTGGATTTCGTCGTACGGGGGCAAAGTCGCGGGAGAACAGGCGAATTATGTATAATTTATAAATCTATAAAAAGGACCTTTTTCGCTGCCATCTTTAAACTGAATAAACTACAACAAAAAAACATTTTATTCATTAAAATTCGAATTCTGAATTGAGACTTTTAAGTTAAGCACGTCTCAATCCGTAAATTAACCATTTCATACGTCAGTTGAACAGGTTTTCGCTTCTGTTTTTTTATTTTTATAATCAATTCATAGCAGTTTGATAAAACTGACACTTTGCCATGTAAAACGTAAAAAAACTTAAGTTATTGAGAATCAGTTGAGATTTTGAACTTTTCCCAATTCAGAAACAGACTGTTCTATCACCCTCACAAAATAATCTCAGATTTCTCAAGATTCAGTTGATGAGGTTCAAAATTTTGATTATTTTCAAAATTATACTTTATTAGCTTTATGCTTTGTTTTGATATTAACTGTGCAATCAGATCAATCTCATGCTAATAGAAAAAATTAAGAAAATCTAACTTAATTACAACGATCGCGGGCCGTGGCGTTTTTCCGCTCGGTGGCGTAGTAGATAAGCGCCGCGGCTCGCGATCGTTGTTGTTAAGCAACTTTCGCAAGGGTCGGTCACGGGATGGGTGACCAAAAATTATTATATCAAGCTACTCCGTGCTTTGAAAGACACGTTAAACCGTTGTTCCCGGCTGCATTTGCAGTCGTTAATACCCTTCAATCCGAATTGGGCCAGCGTGGAGGGTTGTGGCCCATTCTCCTTAACCATCCATAAGGAAGGACTGAGCCCCCTGCAGTAGGGACGTAAAAGGGCTAATGATGATGATGAACTTGATTATTTAAAGTATTTTAACTTTACATGGCTATTATCGATCTCTATATGTGGGATCCCGCAAATAGTATTGTCGTATTGGAAGAAGAAAATAAGATAAACAACATAATGTTTTAGTTTATTTATCCAAATGAAGTCATATCTTGAAGGAAGACGTTAGTTCCAGCAGGGTTTTCGGCAGGCACCTTAAACAAATTAAATAAGCCTAACTTATTTCTATAGTGACGATTAAAGAAAGTTTTTTTTTTTATAATAGTCGTTAAAAAAATAGCCTCGAACTCGACGGCAAGTCATCACTTATGTATTCTATAGTACTCGTATTAAAGAGTAAAGCAAACAAATTTTTAATAATACGGGCTATTTATCTGATAATATTCTTCTTTCAATTTTAGAAGAAAAAGAAAGCCTAGTCAAGTATACGTAATACATTACATGAACAAGAACCTGTCAGAAATGTCCTGAAATGAACAAAAGCATGGACATCAAAATCTTAAGTCGTAGATTTTCGATCAATCGAAGATCTTTCTTATACATTTGATAGAACGTAAGGCTAATCGGAATGCCAGATTTCTCATATTGTTTTTTTCTTTAATTTCTTGGCAGTTAAATTTAAAACTGATTCCAGAACATCATTCATATGTACCCAATGCTGCTGTATACTCACGCTATGGCCAGCATAATTGATCCAGAAGAACCTAAAATTCCCATAGGCCTTATAGTAACCCTCTAGTTTATTGTCTACCCAGATTGGATGGCGTGTTGCGTTCTTGTAACCTTCAGCTCCTGGCCACTGGAGTCGATCTACCCATAATATTTGACCTGTGCAATAATAAAACCATTTCATATTAAATCAAGCATATTTATTTACTGCTGGCCTTTCAAGAAGCTACTTATTCGCCCGAACTAATATGACTCTTGAAAGCTAGGCCCTCAGGTCTAATGTTAATTCTTACGAGTTATACACCGCCAGCACAGCAATAAAATGGTGTTAAGTCGCTCAAGTGACAGTGTCAGTTTACCGATGTCAGCTTAGAAAAAATTTAAACAGCAGTAAAGCAGAGTTTAATATACTACACTAAGCATATAAGTCGCGGAACATGCACAAACAAATAATATAGTAATTATTATATTTTGATTGTTTTTGCATTCACAATGCCATACTGAAAATAAATAATGCAAAATCAATCAAAATATAATAATTAGAACAAAATTCTCATCTTTATCGAAAGTTTCAATATTTGTAACAATATTTCTTTCGGCTGTTTGGGTGGATGCCTGAACATTGTTGAAAATACGCTCTGTAGTAGCGAAAAGTAACAAGTGCTTGAAAGATTCGTCAGTCCTGTCAGATCCTGGGTAGCTCAGTGGTTAGAGCAGTCGCCCGGATTGCGAAAGATCGTGGGTTCGATTCCTATCTCAGGGTGCCAGGCACCAAGTGGATTTTTTAAGCATATTAAGAATAAATTTAGTTATCATGAGCTTATTCTTACTGCTAAATCACAGATTTTCATTAAGGGAGAACCAGAGGCTAACTAACTTCAACGGGTTTTTTAAAATTTAATAACATCCAAATCATTTGTAATTCAGAATAAAAATAAAACAAAACTTTATGTCACAGTCAAAATTTTTATACAGAAAAGTTAAAGATCACTCCCTCGCTAATCACGAAACCTTAAAAAATTAAAGTACTCTTGTCAGGCGGCAGAGGCAGTGCTTAATGCATTTTCTCGACGTAAAAAAAGACAGTAATGTATAAAATATTAAAATCATACTTACCAGGTGTATTACATATGAGGTCCAGATTTCCGTTATATTTTGTTACAATCAAATCAGTTTCATTTAAAATTTTCTCAACTGGAAAAAGAAAGTTTGATGTTTTACAATTATCTTCTATAATATAATAAGGGTACGATCACATCTAGCGACGAGAAATCACTTTACAGTGGATGAAATTTACAATTATTTTATTGGTCATAATTCAATAATAGGTATATGTAAAATATTCATTAATTTATGGGGAAAATTATGGACATTGCTTAATAAAATTAATGTTATTGACTTTGTCATTATGCGATACAGAGTTTTTTAATATTCAAACATAGCATGACTTCAAAGCACAAACTACCAAGCAAGCAAATTCACAGATATAACAGTTCACAGTTACCCGAATGACTTTATCTAAATATATATAACTCAAAGGTGACTGACTGACATAGTGATCTATCCACGCACAGCTCAAACTACTGGACGGATCGGGCTAAAATTTGGCATACAGGTAGATGTTATGACGTAGGCATCCGCTAAGAAAGGATTTTGATCAATTCTACCCCAAGGGGATAAAATAGGGGATGGAAATTTGTATGAAACTTTGTCAATTTTAAACCGATCGGGCTGAAACTTTGCATGCATAAAACTACTATGACGTAGGCATTCTCTAAGAAAGGATTTTGATAAATTCCACCCGATTAACTTTACCACGCGGACGAAGTCGCGGCCATAAGCTAGTGTTTTAATAATTTTAAGTCTCAGTAAAAGTTTTCACTTACTTCCTTCTGTTACTGGTTTCATAAAATCTTCATTCAAAGTATTAAACACGGCCATTGAAAGTTGGCCCCAGGTAACATGTTCTGGAATCTGTAGAGCTTGTTTCACTAGGGTATTCATTAAGGTGTTAAGATTTAATGTTTGTTTAGTATCCAACATATACGGCTTGTTATATATCATCATATCTCTTGCTAGTTCTGAAATATAAGTAGACATAGTTGTAAGTATTAGTGTTGATCAAGACTAAATAGTATACTAATATGTTATAGTAATTAGAGGTAATGTCCGTCATATAACAACGTTTGTGGGTAATGTTTGCTAGAAAAGTGGGTTAGAATAAGCCACTTGAGAGAACTAGCAGAGTAAATTGGGCACAATGGGATATTTAATATAAGACCTTATACACAGAAAATCAAAGATGTTGTTACTATAATTAGTATTTATTAATAATTATAATCTCAGTTAATAAATATTGTAAAGTTTCCATAACATCTTTCATTTCTAAGGATATTCAAAAATTAATAACAGTTGTCTTCGTTTTTATTGTCCTTTAAGCTTGACCACTTCACTCCCCCGCATTTGACAGGCACTCATACCGTTAGCAACTCCATCGTGTACGTTTGTATGTGCCTGTTGCTATTATTGCATTTGTTTTATTATTAATGTTTTAGTTGGTTTGTTAAGTTTGACAATTTAAAGAATACAACTCACAATTCGACTTTAAGTGCTGAAAAGTTAGGCCGAGTAAAAATACAAATATAATATTATTTCTATGTTGACGGTACCAGATGATGTTACTATGATGTCATTGAGACGTAATCGTCACGCAAACAAGCTGACTTTCTGTTTTGCCCCGAGCTTCATTGCCCAAATTCTCATACGTTAATAGATTTTTAAGCGGCAAAAATGCTAGTAAGCAACTTATGATTATATTAGCGCAACAGAGGATGCGTCGGCGGTGTGGCGCTGCATCATCTTACACACAACCGATGTGTGATGGCAAATTTATATGTAAACATGAACCTCTAAATTTCCTTTAGCACATTGTAATATGCAACTCAAGGTGCTCTGGCTCTGCTAGTGGTATACTTTATCTCGACCTAATAACGGTGGGACACAGCACCGCACCGTCAACGCGTCGTTTAACCTAACATTTAAGAATTCTAACCGGACGCAGTTCTTGTATCAGCAGCATTAGGTGGTGCTGGCATCTTAGTCAAAATATTATAGAAGTCGACATTGGATGTGACATGAAAAATCATTTGCTGTGTCGCGCCCCATTGAATGGTCGAATTGACATACGCTCCTAAATTGAACAACCGTTCAGTTTCTCTAGCTTCGACTTGAATATCATTGTATCCATCATCATCCACAAGTCCTGCAGCTAGTAGTTGAGGCGCCCAGGTGAGGACGGCATCAACTGGTGATATCCATGCGTTACCCATGGCAAATCCACGTAGGTTGGACCGAATGGTTTCAGCTTTTTGTGCCTAAAATAATTTTGTTTTTAGAAAATAATTATTTGTTTGAAGCTAATGACTGTAGAGAAATAACAGATTTAATTTTTGTTTACAAACTAATAGTCAACTGGGCTTTCCTTTAACAACAACCACGATGTTTTAAATATAATTTGTCTACAACTAGAATGTTAAAAAAATGTTACGTAAGTTGCATGTTTCCTATTTTTTTAATATTATGATCCTTGCCGTGACAATTTATTTGCGGCTTCACTTAGAAATATGTATCAGCTGTAGCCAGGGCCGGTTCTAGGAGAGGGCCAGTGGGGCAAAATCAGAAAGAAATAAAAAAGGACGAGTTTCACAATGGTGTTTCTTCGGAAATTGAATTTCTGCCTTGATACATCCGTCATTATTGTTCTTCAAAAATAATTAAATCTAATTTATATTTTTGTTTAAAAATCGGGGACATTAGTCTGCTACGAGATTGGATTCTGTATAGATTTTAAAATTAAAAAAATATCTTTTGAATTTCCGAAGACACAGCCATAATTTTTTTTTATAATTCAACGATGGACGGGTTTGGGGTTGTAGATCTGGGGTGTCGGAGCAATATCAAGTTTCTGCCGCGTTCAGATAAAATCGTAGATCCAGTGGTGGCCGTAGCTAATGTAAAAACTAATATTGTGATGTCTTCTTGTCTTCTTCTTTGTCTAAAAAAAGATAAACTCTGGATTTCGTGACAACGTATAACATTTATTCCTCAAATTTCTGGATACTTTTAGTGAACAAGTATCCTATTAATGGTTTTTTGAGTTCATTTATTTAATAATTTACAAAATATATTTTAAGTTGATTATATGTTGATATAAAAACTTACTTCAACCATTTGGATGGCCATATCTACAGCCATCTTCCCACCGTACGACTGTCCATAAATGTACAAAGGGACAGTTTCAAACTCAGGGTGTTTTTCATAGAATCCCCTCATCAAAGAAACAAAATCCAAAGCTGTGAACATAGCAAATTCACAATCAATATTTTTATTTTATTTTATTTAACACATATTTTTACAAAGTATTATTTAAAAATGTAAGTACCGATTTCTTTGTTCGTTGTCGTCAACAGACTAGGGTCGTCAACATAACTGAATCCAGTGCCAACAGGGTTGTCCAAGAAGATAACATTGAAATTTTTTATCTGTCGAAAAGCAAAGGTATTACGAAATGCCATTTATATAAAATACTATTTGGTGTGCGCGACTTTGCGTGCTCTTCATGAAATAGTTAACCGATGAATGAAAATCCACAGAATCTCTTTGTATTGTATTAATAGATAACATTGGTTATTTTTCTTTCAGGGGAAGTCGCGAATAATCTACGTACAGTTATCCTTGGGAAAAACAACCAGCCCTTAAATCCACACACTTGAAGGTCTGTCCCTATGACTTATTTATCGTGATGATGAAGCGAGTAGTCAAAGGCAACTGGATGCGTTTGAACTCAAAGAGAAATATGATGGGATAAGTGGTATATGCGGTATTAGCACAATATCACCTGTACCACGGCCAGTCAGAAACTCTGCTTCAATAATATTCCATGACTTCGGTGGAGAAAGGTTTCTCATTAGTATTATAGGTACACTGACTTTGAACTTGACTTTGTGAACGGGTAGACCATTTCTTGTAAGTGAATTTAAAAATTCAATAACGTTACGAGTATTATTTTAAGAATTGTAAACCACCTTATCCGCAACAATTTCATTTATATTTTTTTCATTAATTGCGGCTGCTTAGATATTTCGTGGGGTTAATACCCCATGTTTATATAACCAAATATTTCTTTTGCTCGGTATAAAATTGAGGTCTCCAAATACTGATTGATTTAGTCCTTCCTCTGAAGCAACAATTTTACCCAGCACTCTAGGAATCGACACCCGCCCATGTTGAACCCGAATAAATGACTAGGACGATTCTCTTAAAGAAGCATGGTTAGTGATAGTAAGTGATAGATAGTAGGATGCTCGATATCAAAAAGAGTTTTAAAAAAAGTAAATGAAGTTGGTCCTCGAACTGTATGGGGCAATAGGTGTAAAAACGAATATTCTCTATAAATGGGATAAATTCTATACACCTTGCCTAGAGCAGCAAAGTGAAATATGAAAAAAAAAAAATGAGCTGGTGGTGTTAAAGTTAGTAGTAAATGCTCATCAGACTGAGCGAGTTTCGATTATACGTAATTCTTTTTAATGATTTTAAATTATAGTATGCTGAGCTTCTGGAAATCAATATCAGATGTTCCAAATCTTCGAATTTTAATCTCTACAGTAAATACACATCGGACTAAACAACATTTGATAAAACCTCAGTCCTGTATACGTTATAGTGTTAGTAGTCCCTTAGAGTTCCACATCACATCTTTCAGATCTTCGATTTTTATAAGTCAACAGAAAAAGCTCATTACTTTGAACAAGTTTTGTTTAAATACCAATTCCGTATACATATGTTATAGTGCAGAGAACTCTTAGAGTTCCACATCAGATGTTTCAAATCTTCAAATTTTAATCACGCAGCAAAATATGTTTATGAGATGGAACAATTTTTACTTTCGCACCATTTCTGTATCTCTTACTGTTTCGTCGATCTCTTAGGGTTCCAATGATGGAGACCAGCCACCAAAATGAACCAAAACAAGCTTAATAGCTTAAATAAACCAAAACAATGATTGATAAAAAACCAAGACAGATAAAATTTGAAACATCATTGAGTTGTATTCTGCTGGTGTTTTAGTGTCGCCCTGAATCAATTTTAAGGAAATACATTTAATGTACAGACACACTATTTACTGTTTTATTACACATAGATAGAAGATAAGAAGATTGTATTATGTATAGCTGTTAACTTTAATATCTGAAAATATATAGTTATTTAAGAAACATTAGCAACCGTATGAGACCGTGCTAGAGAGCGGATCTTTTCCCCCACCGACAGTATTTTATTAGGTAGATAACCACGACTTGACCTGTTCTTTCAGTCATTTTCAAAATCTAGCTTTTTATGGAATTATGTAACTTTTAGTAGCAATCTCAACGGATTTTTAACGCAATTTAGAACGGACGATGGTTTGAGTGATCAAGAAACATTATATAAATAAATCCGCAGAAAATTTGTAGTTAACATTCAACTCTTTCGTTTGACATTTCTCAATAGCTTTCAAAGATTTACGTTTATTACGTATTATCTTTTTCTTAACAATTTGAGTTAACATAAAATTTACGAAATCGTTATATCAATATTTAAAAAAACATTGCCAGCGCTATCGCTAACACATATCAAACAGTTATAGCGTGAAGTTCATGAATATCTTTCAAATGTCAAATTAAAAAGGATTGCGAGAGATTTAAAAATTTATAATTAACCTCCTGATCTATACAATTGGAGAGCCATGATTTAAGACATAAAGTACTTGAAGGTTGACCTTACCCATGTATGATTTCTCTCTTGAAGGTTCGTGTCCAGTGGGCCAAGGATCTGGAAGTTACCGATGCCAGTGGAGGACCCACCAGGTCCTCCTTGCAGCCATACGATCAACGGTCTCTCAGTGTAGTGCTCCACTGGGGCAGTCGTGTAGAACAACCAGTAGAACATGTGAGCGCCTTCTCTCACCGTCACATATCCAAAGTCTTGTTTATAACTCCCAAATTGACCTTTTAAATACATTTTTATCATAGCTTGAGTATCATCACCAGACTATATTATTGTCACATCATTGTAAGGTCAATCTAGTAAAACTATTATAACATTCTCAAGTAGGTTTTATTCGATTGAATTCAGCGACGGCGCTATATTTTTTAAAGAATAGCATTGCATATGTCGTAAAGAGCCAAGCTTCTAACTTTTGTAGATTTAGTAAATCAAATCTTACCTGCCACAAATTGATTGCAGAATATTGTAGCTAAAATCAAATAAGGTATCATCGTTGATGTTTTCAGGTTAAAATATCGTATTGAACTAAAAAAAAGTCTATTAATTGTTTATTTATCTGATAACAATGGTCATACCTAATAAAAGATAAGGTTGATATCTACTTTGTATGAGCGGTCGATTCTATTTACTTAGATTATAGTTAGATACTCTTTTAAATGAGACTAGAATACCTATTTTTAATTATATTCTGAGAAGTATAATTATTTTATTGAGAGAAGTTTTTATCATTAAGGAGAAAGAAGTCTAATAAGGAAAATAATTACTTAATTCGAATTGGTTTTAATACAATTCTTAATCTTTTGAATGGGCACCAGTAATGCAGATGAATTGATTCATGCATAATAATTTATTTCATATTGTAGTTGACGATCAAATTTCGAGTTTGTGTTCGTATTGTTTTATTATGCCACCACAATTGCGCTATCGTGAGCACATACGAACTGTTTATTTATTTAAATATTGTATGTCACAAGTATAAAGATGTTACATTTAGGTATTTTCAGTTCATGTGACACCCTGTAAGGGTGTAGCAGTTGTATATAGCCTTTATATAATACTAGCTTTTGCCCGCGACTTGGTCCGCGTGGTATACTTACTTTGGGCAGCATATATTTTCCAAAAACGCTGTTGTTTCTCGAGCTGATGATGAAATTACCTTGATTTTAGGTTTGAAGATACTACAACAAAAAAAAAAAACCAATATGTTTCAGCACTTTATCTTTGAAAACTTAAGAGAAATTAATCCAATCCAATCCAATTTGAAATACAAATAAAAAAACAGTTCTGAAGTTTACACAAAACCTAATCGAAAACGTACCTAATCTCGCAAAATTCTTTGATGGAAACGTTAGCGCAGATTATTTTAGCATAAATGTCATCTAGTATAGCAAAGCTTAAATTTTTTACTTCATTTTATTTTAAAACTCACTACTGTACTTTGAAATAAAATGGAGAAATTTGACAGTTTTGTATATCTATGTCGACAACACTTTATACGATGTTCATTCGAGATATTGATGAATAGAAAAATTGTGTCTGGAGTTATACAATAAAACGTTAACGTGATTTTTAAAATAAATAATTCCACATTTAGATTCTAATAAATAATATTTGTTTTTCTCAGTAACTTAATAAATTAAGATAAGCGCCGCGGTCCGCGGTCTTTCTAGTTAACCAACTTTCGCTAAGGTCCAAAGTTTGAAAGCCACGGGATGGGTGACCAAAAATTTTTTAACTCAAACTACTCCTTACTTCGGAAGGCACAAAGTCCGGAAGCATTTGCAGTCGTTAATACCCTCCAATTTGCATTGGGCCAGCGTGGAAGGTCCAAGAAGAAACCAAACAGAAATCTAATTATTTGCTGAAATACCTTGTTTATTCTTAGAGTTATGATTTTGTGGTTTGAAAAAAAAAACAACCTTGTAATCTCAGACCAAATAAAAAGTAAAGACGGAGTTCGCTGAATAACAAAGTGAAGCCAATTTTTAGCAATAGGGTATTTGACACTTTTCTGAAAACTATTTTAAATCGTTGTTTGTTACATTATAAATACACTGTCATAATATTTCATTGGAATCTTTCATATTTTTGGTCAAAACAATTGTTAAAATTTTAATAGCCAAAAGCGCGCGAAAAAAGCTGCTCTATGTAATGGCGCTGATCGTGACGTCACAGGCCAGTAAATATGTCAAATCGATAAGTAACAACTGTCTTTAGAGTAAATTGAAATAATAATTTAGAAGAGAAATTGAAGTCGTAGTGCGTATTTTTTACGTTTTTTATTTTCCTCTGCTCTGGTTTTCTTTAAAAATGAGCTACAAGTGGTGCGTAGTACCACAATGCACTAATACTTCTATAAATAACAAACAAACTTCGATTCTAGAAGAAAATAGATTCACAATCACAATAGTATAGTAGCTATATAGAGTAGAGATAGGTGATAAAATTAGGTAAGGATTCGCTAAAAGCATTGAAACTTTTTTTTCATGTCGATTTTAAGGTTTTCTTTTTGGTTTTTTTTTTTTTGCTGGATAATTGTTGGCGTTTTCCCTATTTCTTGGATTTATTAAAAAAGCTTAGTAAATGATTCTTTCTTTCTTATTTCTTTTTGGCAGTTCTTATCAGTAGATTACTATAAAGTACTCGATTCCTACAGGCATCGATATTTTATGTATCTTTCTAACACTACTTTGACATGACAGCTGATGACGTCACAGGCCGGTAAACAGAATCGTGATTGGTTGTGACGACGACCAATTATAGGATGTTTTCATCGTTGAATAAATTCCTAAAAATATTGCATTTTCCTTACGTTATTTTACTAAATCTAAACATGTTTTTTCTGCAGATGTTAAGAAATAAGCTTTATTAGAATACTAGCTTTCGCCAGCGGCTTCGCCCGCGTGGACCCTAGGGAAATGTTTTTGCTAAGTCAGCTAACGCCCGATCTGTATACCAAATTTCATCAAAATCCGTTCAGTAGTTTCGGCGTGATTGACGTACAAACATCCAAACATCTAATCATCCAAACAAAGAAACTTTCATATTTATAATATTAATAGGATTATCTATCAGGATGACCACAAAATGCAACTTATTTTCGATAGTCTCAAATACCCTATTGTAGTGTGCGTGCCAGTGTGACCATAGTCATTAAAAACACCCCAATAACTTAACGTTACGACGTTATAGAGTTAACGTTAACGCTATGTTATTTAATAATATAATGTAAATTCGTTTGTCAATATCAGCCTAGATATTCTAAAATCTTTAAGAGTAGGTAATTATTATTGGAGGCCATACATTAGAGAGACTATTTAATTAATTTTTAAGAAAAGTTTGAAAACTTCCACTATGTAAACTAAAATTTTAATATATACAAAGTTTGAAATCTTTGGATATGAGTTTTGCTTTATTCGACGTAACCCTTTTATAGTGTAATACATATCATCGCTCTTAAAATGAGTCGAACAAAGTTCATTTCGACTATTACGAATGACTGAAATCCACTTCTCTTTCACTTTTTGATGTCGGTTTGGAAATTTAAAAATTAATGCAAACCCGTTTAGTAAAAATAAAGAAGTAAAAAATTAAACCCGTTTTTTAATTTTTACTTCCTTATTCTAACACTTCAATATCTGTGATCTGGATCTCTATGTAGCATTTTCAATGTAAAATTTATTAAATATCATTTCCAAACAACAAGAAACAAATACATAACGTAATTTGTGTTTTGTTAGAAATAACGCGTTATAAAATTAAAGTTACTTAATTTCGGGGTAAATAATAACGTTTAACGATGGTAATATTTAGATGAGGTTTTGTGTTCCAAGCAATTACTTAAATTTAATTTTTAAATTACTGAAAATGTAAGTTTTCTCCAATACTTATGTGTGAAATGTGATTCCATCCTGCTTTTTATTTTTGAGGATTGGTTTTTACAACTTTTTACCACACAATTCGGCAGTTAGTAGGAAATTTTTGTTTTTTTTATAATGAAATGTTCCGCACACTGTCTATAGTTAGACTGATAAGGAATGCGTAGTTTCGTTATGTATGTGTGAGTGAAACTGTGTACGAATAGGCCGAGGCGTAGTTTTGTCGGCTTCACTTTTCTGTTAGGCAAAACTCCGTCTATATTTTTATTTGGTCTGAGCTTGTAATTTAATGCGATCGCTACGCGACGCTTAGTGATTCTCTTTTTCTAATATATCACGTGATCTAAACTAGTGAATCATATAGGAACTTAAGTTCAGTTCATATCCCAAACTTTTATATTCTCCAATATAGGTATTGTTATCAGCCCCTGGAGCTAGGTCATAATCCTGTCTTTATCATGACCTGCAACATATCCACAAAACCATAGAAATAGCCTTTGCTGCTGCACCATCGCACTGCACTCCTATATTTATCTCACTTAACTTAAACAGGTAACCTACCTACTTTCTTTAATTTGTTATATAACCTAAAAATTTCAAAACTGTAATATCATCGTTATAAAATGAAATATTTTGTAAATAATATGAGGTAATTTTATTACAATGACAAATCAGATTTTAAACAATGGTTACCATAGCAACATTTTGATGCCCCATAAAATCTCTTATTTCCATTTTTATTCCTTTATTTGCTAGTTTTCACAATAAAATATAACCTATTAACTGACTAGGTAAATTACCCAAATTTCATCGATATAGGTCCATAAACAAAGTAGTTTCATACAAACTTTTCCCCCTTTTTGACCCCCTTTGGGATGGAATTTCCAAAAATCCGTTCTTAGTACACCTATACGTATTAAGGGGAATGTTCCCTTCAAATTTCAAATTTCAAGTGTGTCAGTCAGTAAGTCAGGACATCTCCTTTTATAGATGTATAGATTAGGGGTTAAAGTATGAAATTGCCGTTTTATTGTAATAGGTTCCTTGAATTGACATAGAATCTTAATGGTTTGAGGTTTTCGAAAGAAACATTTCAATATCGACATTCAATTGTTTTTGTTATTCAACTTAGACAAGAAAGATGGATACTGCGAAAATTCAAGTGATTTTTGAATACGAGTTCCGACGCGGAAATACGCGGCAGAAACAGCCCGCAATGTCAACGTTTCGTTTGGAGAGGGGTCTGCTAATGAGAACGCACCATGAGATTTTGGTTTCAACGCTTTCGTGATGTAAAGTTTGACATAAAGAACGAGCCACGAGGAAGACCGCCCACACAGGTGAATAACAATGAAT